GGTGACCTCCAAATGACCAAAACATCACAGTTTACCATGATGCCCCTTTAGTCTACGTGGTGCCTAGATCCAAATCGTGGAGCTCAGGTCAGGGTAAATTTCTGGACCGTGGCATACTATTTTAAAAGTTGGAAGTATCCTGTTGTGTTGCGCAGACAGAAAACAGATAGATAACAAGCTATTTTTGTCAAACTTGGTCACTTTATTAACGGCGAAAAAGCTGCGGATAGTTCTTCGGTAATCATTGTAGTAGGGTATCATATCATATCATCACGCTTGCTTCTAAATCCACATAATCAAACAATTACCAACTCCCCGTCAATTCGTGGCCACTCCAGCAGCAACTCTCTCATCCATTTCCAATAGTCCTCTTGCGCCCATTGTCGTAACAGCTGCAAATTATATATAATCTTGTAAATTCCCATGAAGCTCGATGTATCTCCAAAATTCTTCTTCTGCCAGAAAACCGTCTTCTCTCCCTCTGGCGTCGTGATGATGAGATGCCAATCGTGTCCTTGGATGATAATGCCAGGTATGAAATCGGGCAAGTTCCATCTCTTCTCGCTTGTAGGTGTGAGCTCTTGTGCTCGTTGTCGTAACGATAGTAATTGCCGGAGGAACTGCCAATGAGCCGCCATCCAGACTTCCATCTGAAGCTTGGCGTTCTCCCAGCCTTCCCCTGTCTTCTTGGTTTCGATACTAACAGCGATGGGATTGTCAGAGAGTGGGGCTAGGTTTGCGTGATTGAACATGCCAAGCGGGAGGATGCTCTTCAGGGCATCAATAGTTTCTGATACTTGGGCAGACTCATCCTGTTTGGGATCGAGATACATGCAAAAGTCAACTTTCTTAGAGGCCGACGTCACATGATACTCAGTGATGATTGCAGCGGTTGTACTAAAACAGTCAGAAGTTGCAAGGTTTCCAACAGCGAATGTACTCACCTGAGTCGAAAGTCAAAGAATTGATCACTCCTCGGACCCTGCAACGGCCTCAAAGCAGCAGAAAGAACACGATGATGAACTTCAACGTTCCAATCTGCCTCCGAACAACCTCTACTGTTGCAATATGCAGCCTCATGAAGAATCCACTGTGTAGCCTCAGGAGTCGGCGTATGCCCGAGTTTGTCGCGATCGTCCGAAAAAAGGATATTGCTTAGAATAGGCTGCCTGGCCCACTTGAACTCCTCGTACATGGAACGTTGAGATGAAGGAAGTATCCCAATGCCTGAGGAGGCGTAATCTATCTTGTCGAGGAGGGCTTCCAAAGGTTGTGGCATATTGGGAAATGCGCTGAGTTCTCTGGTGATGACGCCTCTAGTGTTCAGTGCAAGCGCGCGGAGTTGTTTGGTTGGCGAGGATCGGCCTGATGCTTGTGATGCTGACTGCGTTGAAGGTAGAGAGGTGCCGGATTCGCTCCTCGGTGTCCTTATCCGTCTGGATGGACGAGGCGTTTCAAATTCATCGTCATGGTCGGTGAGAGAGTGCTTTTTGGGACTAGCCATCCTGTTGTCACTTTGCGAGGCTTCTGGGGAAGGGAGGTTCAAGCGACGGCGCTTCGGACCTTGTCGAGTCTGAGGAGTAGATGTCGAGCCTGTTTGGATTTGTTGTAGCCAGAGTTGTATCCGATGCTCTAGCGACATTGTCTTTGCGTACGATGACGAGGGGTTGTGCTGTCGTGGTTGTCGATTAATGCTTAATCGTTCGATACTAATGTTGTCGTTGACGTTTGTTGTTCCTGAGGCGTTGTCGTGGCAACGATCTTAGCGTACCTGATTTCGGCGGGTTCTGATTGGAGGCACAACTACAACCCTGGCTGAGGTTGCAGGGGTTCTAAAGATGTCGCCAAACCCGTTTGCCTCACCAGTCAATGGATGAATGACCGTTAAGCGGGGTAAAATTGATTTACAGGATAGAGAGTGCCATCTACGGGTCAAGCCAACATTAGAGTTTGGTCTATCTGACAGCGCACGTATATTCAGTCAGATGATCAATCATCGGGCCGGGAAAAAGAGCGGCCAACGTCTAAATTCAGAGGACACGGATGTTTACGAGACAAGAGGAGTTCGTCCTACATGACAAAAAGACTTTGGCATATTCACTGTAGAGATGGGCAAGCTCAGTCTAGATTCAATTAAATTCAATATGGATTTAGTAGGCTCTAGACTACCTCATTTGTGACGCCTTATGTCGAGGTTAGAGGATTGTTTTGGCCCCGTAAGTACAGACAAGGGGGAAAATCGTCGAACGAATCAAAACCCCCTTCACTTATCTAGATACATCCCCTTAGCGGAATCTGTGCTCGTAGTACTTGTGCTCAAGCCAGATACGGTACATGCGCTCTCTAGGGTTAGGCTGGTTTCCATTGACATCCAGCTGGTTGTTGTCGTACTCGATAAGGACCTTTCCATTGGCTCTGTTATGGAACGCCTCAACCTCTGCCTCACTCTCGGGCTTGAGATAACCGCGGGTAATGACCTGAACACCGTTCAAAGGCTCGCCTCGTCCAGTAATATGAGACAGAAGCTCGTCGACCTTGGACTTGTACAGGAGGACTGGGTTTTGTTCGGTGGACGTCTTGGTGCGGGGGGTTGAGACGTAGATCTTGACGTTGTTTGCCTTGTTCAGAATGCCGCCAGGTCCAGCCAGAGACCGGGGGGTGGTGAACTTGTTGGTACCCTGCTGCAGAGGCTTGATGATCTTTTTCTCCCAGTTGTCACCGCGATTGAGGAAACCAGTTTCCATCTTTGGCTATTAGTATCTTAAACTCGAAGGCAATATTGAATTACCAAATGACTTACAAAATGAGCGAACCAGTAGCCCTTGTCAGAGACGATGACGATGCCAGTGCAGCTAGAGGCATGTTAGTAAAGTAATTCCCATAGTTAGCATTGGGGTTTGATCCCCAGTAGTGAAGATATCCAAACAAGTGTATAATCCTCATCATAAACCGGGTGTATCACTTACCCCATGAGACCCCGGATATACTTTCGCAATGGCTGTCCAGCCCAGGATCCTTGACCCGAAACAGCGTCATGCTGAATAAGATTCCAGTCCAACTCGTTGACACTTCCAGTGTCACTGTCAATCTGCTCCATGACATATTCGTTTGCCGCGGTCGCATCGGTACCCCAAAGGTCCTCGATGTCATCCAATGATCTCTCTCCCAAGTCTAGAGATCGAGGAATAGACTTGCCCTTGCCCTTGCCTTTACCTCTGCCCTTACCAATGGCCTTACCCTTGCCTGCATCCTTACCTTTCTTTGGGGTAGGCTTGGCTAAGCAGGCCTTGCAAGTCAGGTCACAGACAATGGCGGGCTTCGTGATTGCCTTTGAGATGGCCCTCTCATGGATGACATGTCCAACCTCAGTGACATCAGACAAAGACGAATCGGATGGCTTCACGAAGGGAGAGGCCAAGGCAGAGCAAGCCAAAGAGAGAACAAGAGTGGCGAGGCGGACCATGATGAAGACAGCCTAAGTGAAGATGAAAATGAAAGTAAATGTAAAAGAATGTGAGTTATGAGAAATGAGTGAAAAGTTTTGGAATGAAAGAATGACTACTGATGCATTCGAATTTGAGGACCATTGACTGCAATATATAGACCAGAGGTTGTCGAGAAGGCTTCGGTCCCTGGTAAGTCATAGGACTTAGAAGTTTTCAACTGCCGAACTAGGGGACGCTCAAGAAAGCTTAGGATCTATGTGATATACCCCAAATGACAAAAACAACCAATCTAGATGCTCTAAAAGTCTACAATAAGTCTACCTACATCTTTTTGTCACTTACAATAGATGCTTTTGCTCCCTGGATCCTGATGCCGAAGTCGAGCTCAACTCTATTTTGATATTCAAGGGGATCTTGTTCGGTGAAGCCGACTTCTCCTACTTGCAACTCGATTGGCAGAATATACGAAAACTTTGAATTGATTTCCATTAACCCTTGCTATATTCCAAGAAAATTTCGAAGAAAATTGTATATTCATGCTATTCATGGGGTACGTCAGCTGGACAGGCCTGGGGTTGTGCAGGGCGAGCACAGACATATCTCTGTTTCAACATTTGGTGATGGACGGATTTGAATTTGTCCAGGACAAAGTCTGTCGGCAAATTCCGTTCAAGGAACTGCATCTAGATTCAATACGCTTACGAAACATGGATGGCATAAACCTCATTTCATGTGATTCTGAACTAGGTATCTTGAGTATTTCAACAAGAACTTCTTCTGTTCTGTGTCGCCAAGCCCTTGCGCCACAGGGTATTACTAGTACAAGTTTTTGCTGTTGGCAAAGATTTTGAAAGAAACGAGATAATAATTTCACTATGAGCTAGGTAAACAGAGAAGCGCACTGAGTGGCTTATACTATATTTATGTATAAAGGCAGCACGGCACCCTATCACTAACACTCGAGATTGAGTATACCGCTCTGCTTCGATCCACAGCAGAATGCGGTGCAGGCTGCAGCCGTACCTTCTTTAGATGTAAACGCGTAGACAATCTGAAATCCCAAACAGTACCTTACCAGGCTGATGTACGATGGACGTGCTTGTCGGCGTATCGAAGTCTAAATGTCGGCCCGACAACTTGACCTGCTTGAAATAGCTAGAACAGTTACGCAATGAAGGCGGAATCAGATAAGATAGAGTCACAGGAAAACAATTAAGCTTTCACCCTGTTTCAGGTTTGACAGTTTGCATAATTTTCTGATGATTCCCGGTAGTTGGCACGAGATCTATTTCCCTGGTGAGCTGTATTGAATTGTCCCCCAGATCCCGGATCCTCATTGGAGACAAAAGTATCAGCCAAGTTAGTTATAAGTGAGCAAAGGAGAGAACAAGAAAGGAGTATCTCCTATCGCCAATATACAAAACCATTGTCGCCTACCTCGGCCATTCTTTATAGTGCATCTCCTACACAAGAGAGGCGATGCAGTCTCCACATCCCCGCCGCATACTTAATGATGCTATTCGCCAAAGGTCTCTGTCGCAGCTCGTCGATGCCATGGAAGTGATCAAAGCCAACACTCGACTTTCTTCTCTTCAAGAATTCCTTTCATCAATACTGGGACGGTGTGTCCGCCACGGAAGCATCGACCTGGTGAAATATCTCCTAGAGTCTGAAAGGGCACCTGTTGAGTCCCTATCGCCTCTTGCTGTCGCCGCAAACTCCTCCATTCCCCTGCTAGAGCTGCTTGTGTCTCATGGATGGGACCTCAATAAGGCTGAAGTTTACAGATCCCTTAAGCGGGGAGATAAGTTGATCGACCTCGTCTGCGACGATCATCAGCTGGTTTGCTGGTTGGTCGAACATGGCGCACGGGTCACGGATGGCGATGTGGACCTCTACGAGGTCTTCCCGCAGCCGGCTCCATTACTAGAGACGTGCGCTGTCAGAGGTTCCGTGGCAACCTTCCGGTTCTTACAGAGCAAAGGGGCATTGCTGGGCCACCGGACTCTTCACCGAGCAGCCGCGGAGGCGGCATCATTTGGTGTAGACCCTTTCACTTGTCAAGAAGTTCATGATGAGACAGCTGGCGATGAAGCCAGGATAAGAAAGGAGCGAGCAGAAATGCTGGTGTTTCTTGTGGATGAGATGAAATTGGACATCAACGCGATGGATTCTACTGTACCATATCGTGCTTACCATTGGGGGACTCCTCTATGCTACGCTGCCGTGAAAGAGAAGGGAGCTCATGTGGTAAGGTGGCTGCTTGAGAAGGGAGCTCAGCCCAAAGTTGAGACTGCACAGAATGTTGCTGACGCAGAGATGTTGGCGAAGCTGACGGGATGCACAGAGAATGCGAGAATATTGCGTGAGTGGAAGGAGATACACTAAGATAGAGGAAGGATGCTGCACATTTAGTATATAAAGCAGCACTTTATGGCTAGTAGTCAAGAGTCAGCATTGCCCAGACATGCCATAGATTGGTATGAAGCAAAAATATGTCTTTACCAAGCCCGGGCTTCAAGCTTCCTCCTCTCAACCCTACACCTAAAGCAGAGCACATTAATTGATTCTTAATTCTGGACCCCTTTAGTTCGTGATTTTGAGGCTTTGTTTCTTCTCATGTCGGGAACTCTGTATTTGTTCTGCAAGGCGAGGAGAAAAGGTGCAGCAGTGGCAGCATTCTCGTATCGGCAAAAGATGGTTAGAAAATTGTGTATTTGGAAAGTAAGAAGCTTGATAAAACGCAGACAAAAGGATTGATGGAGTATTAAGGATTTGAAGCCTATCTTGTTATCAAGATATTGCCTTGACGAAACTACAAGCTGTCGTTGGAGGTCTAAGGATAATTTCAGCTAACAAGTGAAACTCCAGAGGTCCATTTATGGAACAAAAATTTAAAGAGATTCGGATCGTATGATCTTCACATGCGCAGTGGCTGTGCAGAGACGACAAGGGAGCCACATCATCGTACAGGTAGATTAGATCTTGATGGAGACACGATCTGTGGCTTGCCTCTACGCCTAGATCTCCGGATATATCGTGGATCCGCTCTGTAACATATGATATAGTTATGGCCTGGCCTCGGGGGGCAAGAAAACAGCGAACCTTGATATAAGGTGTTAAAATGGATTTAGTAAAGAGTCCCCTAAGCTTAGACTAAATTTACCTAAATATTTTTATTACTTAGGGTTAAGGTCTCAAGTTCTATTTCTTCCCCTAGCCTGGGAAGTTATCTTTATTGATAACTTGTAGTCTTTGAGCTGATGGGCATTGGATGATATTTAATACAATAAGCCTATTGCAGACTGTTCCAACTCTGGGACTTGGGGTCAGCCAGCAATCTATTTGTAAGTCCTTCAGATCCCACAACGATATTGGATGTTCTGGATGTCGTGTCTGTGACTATGAAGCTCTTGATTCAGATTTGGCGTTGTCAAGAGAAAACGGACGCGTGCATTCACGTGCCAATCATCTAGCTGGGCGGAACTACAACAAAGACCTATGCATCGAGAAAACCTCCCTTCTCAATTTCTTTACTACATAATTGCTTCAGATTGCATTTGTTTCTTTATCTCCGGGTTCTTCCGAGTGCATGTGCAGGGTAGCCCTCATGAGGACCTTCTCAATACTGCTCAGACTGATATGACCGGATTTACAAGGATGAAGCAATGATATGATACCTTCTCACCTTCTGCATACAGAATACCTACGAAAACTCCAAATAGATGCCTGCCCCGAGATCGTATGTTAGAAACCCTCATGTGAACTGCAAAAATTTCCCACCGCCCGCAAAATCTCCCACAAATGCGGAGGATGCGGGATGTAAAACCTCGTTTGCCCGCGGTCTCTCTGTCCCAAAGGACCGATAAGCTCGTCAGGAGAAGTCTGCAGAAAAAAAGGGGGGGTTTAGGTCTGTGGAGGAGGAGTGGCTCTGGGGGAGGCAACAGCTACTCGGCGAAATACCTACACACCCCATGAAGGGGACTGGACTGGGGAAGGAAAAAAGAGGACGACGAGGCGGATACGCGACCTGTGGGTAAGACCGAGAGAGAGACCCGGGGGAGCGTTTATCCTGTGGGATGGGGAGGGTTGCGTGCAGGTTGTCCCCGGATGGAGATTGAGGGGATTAGCAACTTGGAGAGATTCGAGAAGGGTTGGATTGGTGAGACGTTGGAGGTGTTGGGAGGTGAGAGATTTTAGAGGTGAGGGATCAGCACGACGTCAACAGACATAGAGTTCAATGGTCTAACATAGTAAAAGCCTCAATTATGTATATAAAATTTTGCAAGAAGAATCTGCTACTCAAATGATACAGTTGGTCATTTGATCAAGTGCATATTGATCCCGTGTCTAGACTTCAATAGCTTTGACCGCATGTGATATTAATCTCGGTTCATGTATATTGCATTTCAAGCCGTTTGTCATAGTAAGAGAAACCATGGCTGTCTCCGAAACAAAGACTGCAAAAGACATCCGACAAGATGGTCAAGATCAGGCCTTTGTCGACTGTTGCTGTCAAAACATCCCGATCTCCTCCATATTCTAGACCCCGTTCCAAGGTCAACGGACTTCTCCATGTCATCCATCACCCACGATCTCTAACTTTTATTCCCTCTCCGCGATTAATTGCCATGCATGTGCATGTTGCGCGGGCTCCGCACTCCGTTAACTTTACTCTGTTCCTTGGCCTTGCCATGGGATGGAACGGCTCAAACGTTCGGGTCCGAATAGCATCCACTGATTATAAGTGGGAATGCGCATCGAGTATCGCCGAGTGCCTCTCTTTTTCGGCCCGTGTGGATACGGTATCGTGTTCCGCCGTTGCAGAGCCGCATTAGCATGGGTGCCTTTTATGATGCCATGGGTCCAGGGGTAAAGGAGGCTCTGCGGGAATGGAAACAAGGCACGGAGCTTCGAGAACGATTCTTTGTGCGATGTCGAGTTTGTGTAAGTGTTGACGCGTGGCGAGTAATTGAACGATAGTCGGTGATGCGATGCGATTCAGATACACATATCGCGACAATTGAATGCATGTTTTTACTTGGTACTGTGTTAGGTTGTTATGTCGCAGATAACGAACAATGCCTGCTCGGTGTTATCTCGCATCATCGCAGGCCCTGTCTTGATCTTCTGTCTTGTTCCAATTGAGTTTCCAAGGCTTATCGCTGGACCCAAAATTGACCGAGCACAGCGACACTGCCATCCAATCCATGAACTCTGTTCTGGCCATGGAGCTTCTATAGCTGAGCATGCTCCGCTCAATTCGGCCAGTCTCTGACGTGCGTGGATAAGACTCGAGACATTTGGCCGAGTTTAGACCATTTGAGTACCATTACGAGAGACAACAAAATAAACCTCACGAGAATGTTGGAAATAAACCGGCGATTTGCTGGCGCCGGAAATACCCTTAAAAAGATCAGATCAGATGCGGTATCTGACGGGAGATGAATGCCGTGACAATAACATCATGTTTTTGGCCACAATCAGAATCAGGAATTGGAGAGGGAGCGGGAAAAAAACACCAGAATCTGGCATTCGGAAATAAAAATCTGCGCGAGACCGACGTTCCAATCATCAGTCGGTCCGACCGATTCGGCGACTCTCGGTGTCATATCATGTGAATGGGGCTCTGCTGAGCGGACGAGGCGAGCACCGGAAATATGAGGAAGAGCTGACTAGCAGCGTCGGCGCGAGAAGGGGAGATTGCAATTCATCGATAAACGTGTAGTAAATTAGATGCCAACGATACAATACCGTCTGCCTCTCTAGAGACTGTCCTTCACCTCAACATCTTCACCTTGAAGGCCCTGCGTATTCCCGTCGACGCAGGCTCTGCCGAAGATCTTCGCGCCAAGAGATGCGACCAGAAGACAAATGGAAGCAAAAACTGGATCCTTGGAACAAAAATATGGAACAAAGTGGTTCCATTATTCATCTCACAGGGTCCAAAGTGCGTCATCAATGCCGAAGGCGCCGGTAGTAGAAAGGCCCAGAGGGACAAGGAAGAAAAAAAATTGTCAATGTCACCCCACGCACGTATCGATCCACCGTTTTCTGAACGGAGATGAATCTGGATTAAGGGCGACTAGGGGACCTCCGCTAGACCTACCAGCCCACGGGGCGTGCTCTTGTACCCTCCTGGGCGTAGCGTTTGTCGATGAAAGCGTGGTGAGAGGAATGCTTACCTCACACAGTTCGACTCTCTTTCCCATGACGTGACTCTACGGGCCTTCTATTCACAGTTGCTCCGCTTCTCTCCAAGTCCACAAACCTTAGCTTAGCTCACCCACGTCAGTCTCCGCAAGTCGTTTGCCTGAGCCCCCCGGGGTTTGAGTTTTCGCTCAAAGCATGACCATCAGAAGTCATGAGATGGACCCATTGGCATGGCCTTGGTCTCTCGGTGCCCACGATGGTCCTCGACGATCATCTCCACAATAAAGACAGTCAAAATGGCACCTCTTCGCTGCTTCATTCTCTCTTCCGGCTCATCACAGCATTCGTGTACAACACTTTCACAACATCAAATCACACACTTACAACATTCAATTGACCAATTGGTCTAACAACCTCTTTCAATATGAAGTTCTTTGGTAGTAAACGCCATGAACATGCTGGCGAAGGTCAGCATCTCGAGAGGAAGCCTTCTCCCGATACCGATGGTCGCATCACCTTCCGGGCCTGCTTCATGGGCCTGGTCGCATCTGTAAGTTCCCAACACCACAACAAGCTACCACAATGGAATTAAACTAATCAAATCAAAGATGGGAGGCATGATCTTTGGCTACTCTTCAGGTCAAGTTTCTGGTTATTTTATGATGAAGGATTACGGCGAGCGATTCGGCGAACCCAACGGCGACGGTACATACAACTTTAGCGCCGCACGACAAGGAACTATCACCGGTCTCCTCTCAATTGGCTGCTTGTTCGGATCTCTCATCGCTGGTAGCCTTTGCGATTCAATTGGTCGCCGCAAGACTATCTCCATCTCTGCTCTCTGGACCTGCGTCGGCACCATCATCGAGGTCGCCTCTCAACATGCCTGGTACCAACACGCGATCGGTCGACTTGTAACAGGTCTTGGTGTCGGCGCTCTATCTGTCGCTGTCCCAATGTACCAGTCTGAGAGTGCTCCCGCCATCATTCGAGGTCTCATCGTCTCCTGCTATCAGCTCTTTGTCACTCTCGGTATCTGGTGTGCTGAGATGGTTAACTGGGGTACCAACCACTACGATGGTAGCGCTTCATGGAGAATCCCCAACGGTCTCAACTTCCTCTGGGCTCTTCTTCTCGGTGTTGGCATCCTTCTCCTCCCCGAGTCTCCTCGATTCGCCTACCGGAAGGGCAAGGTTGAGGAAGCCCGAAAGACCATTGCCAACCTTGCTGGTCTCGACATCAACTCCCCCAGTGTCAACCGCCAGATCGAAGACATCCGTGAGAAGCTTGAGGAGGAACAGGCTCTTCCCGAGACCCGCCTTGTCGAGATCGTCACTGGTCCCCGTATGGCCTACCGTACCGTTCTCGGTATCACTCTCCAGGCTGGCCAGCAGCTCACTGGTATCAACTTCTTCTTCGTAAGTATACTCGGAATGACATCGCATCGCAACAGTTGACTAACAATCGCAGTACTTCGGAACCACAGTCTTTGCTTCCACTGGTCTCAAGGACAGCTACGTCACCCAGCTCATTCTTGGCTCAGTCAACTGTGCTTGCACATTCGGCGGTCTTTATGTCGTCCAGAAGTGCGGTCGCAGAAAGTCTCTGATGATCGGTGCCGCCTGGATGATGATGTGTTTCTTCGTCTACGCCTTCGTTGGACACTTCGCTCTTGACCGAAAGGACCCCCTCTCCACTCCCGCTGCCGGTGCCGTCCTTGTCACCTTCTCTTGCTTGGCTATCGCTGCCTTTGCTACCACCTGGGGTCCTCTTGTCTGGGCTGTCGTCGCCGAGATGTATCCTTCCCAGTACCGCAGTCGATGTATGGCCATCGCCACTGCTACCAACTGGCTCTTCAACTTCCTCATCGGTTTCTTGTAAGTTACTTTATATCTACACTCCCCACTGAGCTTTCACTAACAATTCCCAGCACTCGATTCATCACTGATGCCATAGACTACTTCTACGGTCTCGTCTACGCCGGATGTTGTGCTGCCCTCGTCGCCATCGTCTTCTTCTTCGTCATCGAGTCCAAGGACCGAACCCTCGAGGAGATCGACACCATGTACGTCCAGCACGTCAACCCCATCACTTCTTCCAAGTGGGTTGGCGAGCCCCACGGCCCCAAGCACGCCCGCGAGGGTGTCACCGACGAGGAGGCTTCTTCGTAAACAACCATCAGCAAACATGTCATCACAACACGCAAGACTCACAACTCACATCATTCACGTACAAACATCACTATAGAAGTTACGGATATGGACACACTATAGACATGCAGCCGGACTGCCCGGCTTGTAACGATTGGAACGGACGTTGCATTTTAAAATTGTTTTCGCGCAGGGGTGCGAGGAAGTACATAACCCAAAAGAGCATATTATATCCTTGTATTTAGTAGCATTTCTGCATAATATCATTTTCGCTACATTCTCAAACATTGATCAGATAAGATAACCTTTGTGATACATCATTCTCATCCTTGCGGACGAGCAGCAGCCACTTGTTTATACACCTTTGGAGTCAGTCATCAGCACATCTAACTTTTCAGCAAAAAGCAAGATCCTAGGTGATAGTAAGGGTAGAGAGTTAGAGAGTATTTTACCTGTATGTGTTCATTGGTGGGCTGAAGCCTCTTTCAAAACCATAACCTTACGCCACTGACACATCATTCTCTACGTTTCAGATGCTCAGGTCTTGATAAGTGAAGTCCCATTGCAGCTGCACCATGTAGGCCCGCCAGCTCAGAACTTGGCATTCTTGTTTGTCGCATTATATTTGATACAGCATTTGGGTGCAGCCGGAGTGAAATGCCCAAAAATACACATTTTGTGGCTGGCTGAATTGATTGGACCAGCCAAACAGACGGAGAACACGAACGAAGCTTGTCTGGTGCAGGTTAGCGGTGGCGTTTGGGCTCCCTCTTTTGGCCAGCTGATGCCTTTCTTCGGTCTAGATCTCGCCAAGCTGAGATGTGAATCGCGAAAGACATAAACTATTTGATGTAGAGCATTCTTTGTGCATGAAACTATTTAAAAAGGCCCAGCTGGAACTCCATGGCATAAAAGCAACAGACAATTGGTCGAATGATTGCTCGGATACATAAAGAGACCACTTCCTTCATAGCAGAAATAAACCCTTCTTAATCTTACACTATTCTTCTGTTGAACTCGAACCTTGAATCTTGCCGCAATAGCACGACTTCACAGCCAGCTCTTTAATACACTAAACATGGCTTCTTCAAGACCCAGTCGCGCCGCTGCCTGGACGCTCTCACTTCCTACATCCAGTCAACCCGCTGAATCCGCTCTTCTTCCAGATGATGGAAGCAGAGGTAGCTCGGAGTCCATCATCGGAGAAGATCTGCGCGAACTGGTTGACCCTCAAGATTTCCATGAAGGCGGGAAATATCGCTGTACGTTTTTGCTGAAGAGACGAGATTGACAAAAGACTGATTGAGGATTTGCAGCCATTGTGAAGATTCAGTCCCGATTCCAAGACCAAGGGCGTCCGATATGGATGATGGGAAGCGGTTGGCTTATTCGTCCAGACCTCCTTGTCACCGCCGGTCATGTTGTCTATGACTGGGGACGTAATCTTGGTGCCGCTGATCAGATCAGGTGCTACATTGGCTACAATGGCAAAGAGTCTGTCAAGTCATCTCAGGTCCAGGTGCGGTCTGGCGCCAAGGTTGTAACTCCCGTGGAATGGATCGAGAATTCGGACAATCGCAGACAGGACGTTGCTTTTATTCGACTTGACAGGCCTTTCACGGGAAACTTACGACTCTTCAGCTACCTCGATACACCAGAGAAAGGTAATGGCACATATCTGGGTGTCGTCGGATATCCAGGCGATAAAACCTTACAGGGTGAGCAAGGAGCTCAGATGTACGAGGAGTTTGCCAGGAGTGACTGGAACATTGGAGAGAGCCCTCACCGTATGGTCGAGTACTCTATCTCAACTTTCTCTGGTGCGGTTGTTTCCCAACTGACGTTTACAGAATTAATTCTGACAGTTTATTAGGACAATCTGGCGCACCAGTCTTACGCAAATCTGATGGGCGACTCAATGCGATTGGCACTCATAGTTATGCTCGAGGTAGTTTTGAAAGAAACGCAGGCACTACAATTGGAAACGCCTATGGTAACAACTACAACGACTTGATCAGTTTGTTTGATAAGGGGGCGAATTTCGGCGAGGTTGGCAATGTCAAAACCGTCCAAGTTCAAACTCAAGACCGAACAGTGAGTAGCTCTGCCTTCATTTATGACGTCTCTAACCCATGGCAGCCAAGCATGAATGAGCCTCACGGTCTCAATAGAGGCCGCCCCGGTATAGCGTTTGAAACCCTGAGATTCGATGAAGAAAGCTTCCTCGACACCCTAAAAACAGTAGCAAATGTGGGAAGAAAAGGTTTCCCCTTTGCTTCTGCTTTGCTCGGCCCCATCGGTGGTCCCCTTAGTGCAGTAGTCGGAACTCTACTTGGGTCACTCACAGAGACTGCGCTTTCTCAGAACACTGAAAGCATAGCAAATGGTCCCGCCGAACGTGCAATGCTCGCTGAAGCTGCTTTGCAAGCAGTCCTTGCGTCAGACCACGATGAGCATGTGATGGAGGTGATCAACAACATGGGTCATATTTGGAAAGGTGGTGCACCAAAGGTACAGATTCTGGCTCCTGCTATCACACCCATCTTGAGCCAATGCAGCGTGGAACTTTCAGGCCAAGTTGCTCCAGAGACCGAAGACCCCAGGGGACCGCGTTCCCGTGATCGCCGCCGCTTGGAGGCCGACATCACAGAGAGTGCTGCGATGAGCGACGGAGCTGCCTTTATCCAAGGTATACTGGGTCCAACTCGACAACTTGAGGGAGGAAAAGACGTTTCCGAATGGCTTGGCCCCGTTCTGGTTACTGCGGTCTCTGAGTCCAAGCCTCTTACGTCCAATTCCGCCTCTGCGGCTCTCTCACGCATGGAGTCAATCGAGGCACCCACCTCTAGCGCAAACGAGGACGCGACTAGGATCTTGATCAAACGTGCTGTTTTAGCGGATGCGGCTCTTCAAGCCGTAATGTCCCTACCCCGCGAAAGGCTAGAACGGTTCAGGCCTACCGACGGACGTGGCGACGACGCAGGTATCTTCGATTTCATGAAGGATAAAGTTCAGATATTTGGACCAGTCACACTCGACGTTGCGAAGAAGGCAGCTATTAAGATTGGACCTCTTTTCAGCAGCGGTGCCAGTCCGGATCGTCCAGGTCCTGACGCTGAAGTTCCCCGTCTTCCGCAGCGAGCGAAGAAGCCGTCATTGATGGACTATCTCAATCAAAGCGCGAACCGTTTTGAGTAACGTTTGTGCCGCTGCTGTCGGGCTGACTGACTTTGCTGATCTGACTCGATTGTCAGGTGGCTCACGTGGACTCCAACTGGTCAATGGGATGTGATACGGGAGCGTAGGAGCAGTCACATACCCTCGGCAGGATACACACTATTACCGTAACTTAAATTCTAATACACGATGATCTGAAGCTGTTATGAGCGTTAACCGAGGTATTGATGTCATTCTTAACATTAACTTTCGTCAAATCAAGCAATCATTGGCCAGTTAACGCACCATCCTTCCAGGGCTGACGATCTCTGATGAAACTTTTACTACAAAACTAAATCAGCTAAGGAAGACCTGAGTAGCGTAGCGAACTTGACAACGTGATTATGATTCATGACGCTGTCTTTAGATCTCAAGATCTTTGTCCAATAAAACTCAATAAACGGAATCTCCCGAAGGGATCGACATCGGAAACATTATCTAGTGAAGCTTAAAATCTCCTGACAACGTGGTTTAAGGTTGAGGTTTACGAGATATTCGCACTAGTGCTTACTCCAACATCGTACCACTTTTGAGCTCCGTACTCGAGAATAAACGGTTCCAAAGACAGAAAGCCCGTGAGGGGATTGCGGAGTTGTGGGATTTCTCAATTGGGGTACCGCTATTCTCCAAAGGGAACAATCCCGTTATGAAAACGGTTCGCAATTGGTATGCTGGCCTTTGATCATAGCCGAAATCCAAAAGTATACTGACTAATACCCTTCAGCCCAGAGGACTGTGAAGTACCTAGGTACTCACGGAAAACTGTTGCTGTCCATCATTCTCACGAGAACTGATGTTCATGTGCATGGGTGTTGGTTTTCAACCTCTTTCGATCAACACGGCAAGAAATGATCCGATGTTGAATGTCGAGTGTCGTCATTCTCAACCTGCCAGAAGTAGGCAAGGCAATGATCTACCATGACCCCTGAAAAGACCCGAGTCTAGAATGAAGGATCTATCACATGTTGACCAACAAATAAGCGCTATTACGACGACCCATCCGACAATTCCTGTATAAAAGCAGCATGAAGGCCAAAATGTTGTGCCAAGAACTGATATCGGATATATTGCCTTTCCTCTCATCGCCATCATGTCTGAACAAGCTGACGAAAATGACAACAAAAGAACTGAGTGTACCTTTCCGCCTGGAAGTAGGCGCGTCGAATATGAAGACCTGGATCCCGCCCAGAAAGAACTCGAACATATCTTCGCAACCATGAAGCATGACCCAACGGGCGCGGGCATAAGCCATCTCGGCCGAGACGGAATCCATCGATCCCTCACTGCAGATCGCGATGTTGTCGATGCCGTTCCTTTCCCGCCGCCTCTCATCAAAGCGATGCTTGATCGCTTCCCATACAGCGAGGAATCCGTCAAGGTATTCCGCGGGGTTGATGGCACAAAGACGCCGAAAGAACAGTGGTACAAGCCTTTACCAGGAACCTTGCCCACCCCGCTTGAAGAAAAGCATCGCGAGGAGGCGAAGAAGGGGGAGGAAGACTATAGGAAGTGGTATGAGGAGAGGATGGAAAAGGTTGAAGCGGGCATTTTTGATAGGAGAGCTGTTTGTTTGATGTCGGATCATGATCTCGGCCTAGAGGCAATGGCCACAAAATAAGGGAGATATCGGAGATTGGTGGGCGGACGTAGTAAGAGAGCCAAGTTCTGCGTAGTGATCAAAACCTCGCAGCAGCATCAGCTCTGGATCATAAATGTAAAAAGGGCAGTTAACCAGAGAAATTACTCAAATGGCCTCAGGGAAGCTATGATGGGTTTCGGATGGGCCACAGGTCGATGTCAAGTCTCTGATTCGTATCTTGGTCGTTATCCCGCGGTACCAGGACTTGGTACGCGTGGAACATCTTCTGAAGGATGAGTGAAGGGCCATGGTTTCTTCATACCACTTAAGAGATTAGGATCCGTTGGTATCAACGTCCACTTGGTATCCTTCCTGATGCTTCTTGCCCTCGTATGTTGCGTTGATAGCTTGATCGTTTGTGAAGCCCGACATACAGTGAACAGCCCTGGCTCGACTGAAAGTGCTGAGTATGGTACTTTGGCTAGTAGGCGGCAAATCGTCGACACCTCTGTCGAACCCGCCAACAGGCTGTTGATTAACGGTCGGACGTCTGAAACCCTCACTCTCATGCTCAAGAAAGCGACCTCCCTGCGACAGGCGGATGGAGAACGGTTTCGGAATCCAGGCCTCAAACGGCATTGAGATGAATCAAGATAAAAGCAGGCTAAAGGGCTGTCTACGAGCGTTAGGCCCTTTCGGACTGGTTTGTAAATATGTCGTGGTGCATAGGAAGTGGATTGATGCGCAGATGTGAATGAGACTTCAGACTTCAGAAATCGGTGTTTGTTGACTAGTGATGTCGAAAAAAGAGGTCCATGGCTGCGAATCAGAAAAACGAGAGCTCTATTTCACCTAAAGTGTGATTTTTAGAGTGTTATTTTGCGTTGAGAGTCCTGACAACTGACGCTTGCATCGCGAGGCTTATCTCTTGCGGACGTGACAGTAGAGAGGCCAGCGATCCCTTTGCCGAGTACCAACAAGGAAATGAACGATGAATACAAGACGTTTGGCCGTTACGCATACTGAGTGAAACCGGAAAACGACCGCTAAACGTGTTCCCCAAAGATATTTAAAGCTTCATTCTTGTGCACTGGATTAATTGAGATGAAGTTAATTGCTTCGTGCGTTGCGCGCTTGCCAGGCAGTGTCTCATTAGGCGATTTTAGTGGACCCTGCGTGATACAAGCAAACGGCTGCACTGCAATGCACTGCACTTTCTCTCTGTAGCCTTGAAAATGTATCTCAATCCAACTTCCTTTGCAAACACGCGCTGACGAGGCGGAAGCACAGAGTCGCGTCTTGGGGTTACACTCAATCGCCTAAAGCGCACAGTATCGCATCGCTGCTAACCCCGCCAATTTTGATCTCATCAACATCCGCTGAGCGCAAGTCGAGAGAACCAAGGCTGTACACCATTCGCCTGCAGGCCAAAGCCGCTGTGCATTATGGCAACAACAGATCCAGCAACAGTCACGGAAGACTGCGCTGTATTGTCAGTCATCGATTTACTCCTTGTTGTGTTTAGTTGCTGATCTCGCGCTAGCTTTGGCCATCATGGTCCGCTCATCGCCAGCGGCGACAAAATTGGCCTTCACACCAAGATCAAGGCTCAGCTCCGCTCGGTACAAGCGTGGGATTGTGACACATGGATTGGCCTCACACTCGACTTTCCTTTGGGGAAAGACCAGAAAGCAAATGAGGAGGCCGGCTTTGGCGTGCGGTATCGAGGTGAGTATCATTTCAGAGCTGAGGCAGCAGAGCTAACTCTCATTTCACCAAGCCCCGGAACATGGTTCACAAGACAAGTCAAAGCTTTGCGATTACCACCAGATCCGAATCAAGTTTCCTAGTAACTTTTCCCACGAAGTCCAGCAGGGACAATCCCCGAGTACGTTCACGAACGAGCACCTCAGCTACGTAAAGATACATTTTGGCGAGAGTCGAGCTACAATCGAAGGCTTCGGTGTCCCATTCGCGAACCAAGAAGATCACCAGGTTGAAAGCTGGATCAAAGGAGACGCCCCCATCGCGGGAGAATACGATATCCTGGACATCGTCCAGCAGCAAAGTCTATATCTGGTCTTGCCCGCAAAAAGCAGTCTTGTCAAGATCCTCGGCACTACTCAAAACTTATCGACTTTCCGATATCCTTACAGTGAAGACTTGTCTTGGGATTTTACTTGTCTTGAGAAAGAGCTCCGAGAAAACAAGGGCCAACAGTTCGCGCCACTTTACAGGTGAAAGAAGTTATCTTGATGTTTACGAGCCACACTGACATAACTTAGTCACCCCACTGCCGTTTCGCACATGATAGCTGTGAGTCAGTCTATTGTACAAGACATAGTATGGCTACACCAAGCGGCGGATCGATTAGGGCAGCCAGGTGCAATCTGGCCAGGCGCAAGCATCCGATACTGGGATGTCGACTTCAAAGCGAAACATACCCGAATGCCAGGCTACTTCTTCCAATGTAAGGTACCGGATACTGGCGTTGAAGATGGTCTTCACCTTGTTATTCCTTTTTCTGAGCCGCTCGCAAAGGCAATTGGCCCGTCCTGGAGGCTTCTGGTCAAACAAAGAACCTTTGGGCTGGAGGTATTCACCTCGCGCCAGAGTAGGCAGTCAATCGGGCAACAATGGCAAGTATGAAGTAATTCTAAGTGCACATTTGCTGATGATCATAGGTTGTGTCAAATTGCGCCATTAGGGCGACTGGATCGCTATGCCCGACACCGAAAAAGCCCTACCGATCTGATCTTGGTTGTTATGGGAGAAGCACACATGAGAACCTACCAGGATGCGGTAGGGGGTTGCACTATCAGATACCGTAATGGGCAGGCCCTCGACAAACTCAAAATGTTTGCTGACCGGCAGAGTGCTAGCGAGGCGCTCTTGAAAGGGGATAAAAGTTGGAACTACGTGTCTCTGAAGTTCGATCTTTATACCGACGAATCTCGGCGCCGAGTTGAGGCTGCTATTACGTTTCATCCTAAAGCACGCCCATTCCAAGCCCCCGCGCAATGGATAATAACAAAGAGATATTCTCGAACTGATACCCAGAAGGACGCCCTGCCAGATGACTTGACTCATGAACAGCAGCAGCTGTTGGATGAAGTCAATGACAAAATGGATCTACATCGGTCTGTTTTATGTGGCGCAGGATTTTATGACTGGATGATGAAGACCGATGGCAACAGCACATGGAGGCCGCTGCCAACAGTTAACCTACTCGATATTGAGGATCAGACTTACGTTGACGCCATCCTCGAAATGGCTCTGCCAGAGTATCGTGCCCGCTTCAGATCCTATATGAGTAACAAAGCACTGGGTATTGGTATCATAACAGGCGTACGTACCAATATCACCCGGCGCCATGGCAAATACTGACTATCAGTGGCATTAGCCTCCAGGATGTGGAAAGACAACGCTAGGTGCTACCGCGACGCTTGCCTTACAGGCAAAGGTCGGCAAAATAGTCTGTTCAGCGCCAACCGATGCAGCTGTAGACAACTTCGCATATCATCTTGACAAGCAAACTCGGGATATCACAGAAAGCTTGAACGCGGGAAAGTCTCTGGACGACTCAAGCCGGTATCGTCGCAAGCTGGTCGTTCGATTGTACTCACCCTGCGAAGAGAGAAACGCCTTTTACATGCTTTTGGACAGGCCTGAGCTTGGTAAAGAAGTTCTGAATACCTTGAAAGTCGCAGGAGAACCCAATGAGGAAGTCGACTGGAAGTTCCATCTATCAGCCGCTTACTGGCTTTTGCTTCTCTTCAGATCGCCCGCTGTAGATCGGAGTCTTGGACCCGATGACAGCTTAGCTTTACACAAGATGCAGAAAATCATTGATGAAGATGAAATGATCGAGCCCATACGAGAGGGTTTCCCAGAAGCTATCAGGGAATATCTAGATGATCATTTCACTGATTTCCTGGACATGTTACTTGGAGAAGCGGACGTGATTTGCGCTACACCAATTCATTCAGAGTTCGGACATGGCACATGCCCATATGAGACATGGAAGGGGACTTTGGCACAAGGAGTTGTAGTTGATGAAGCAGGAACAATGGACAGACCTGATCTGTACCGTGTCTGGGGAAACACGTTACTTCCCTGCCTCCTCATTGGAGACACAAGATCGGAACAGCCAACAATTCAGACTACTAGTGAGAAAGAACCAGACACTGAGAACTACTACAATCGTTTTGCGGGGGATGGCCAACTCTCTGGTCTAGAGTTCCTTCAAGCCTCTGGCCTTCCAGTCTTCCGTCTCGATACACAAGTTCGTATGGCCAAGGGCATGTACGACTTGGCTGCCCAAGTATTTTACCCCCAGCTCCCGCTTCAGTATCACCAGCGCGACCACGACATCACTGACCAGCAGCCCAATGTTGGACGAGAGCTCGAGGCTTATGTGCGCATGAAGTATCCAGTGTTGCGCAAACCGCCAGACGGCATTCTTCACCAGCCATTGTTCATTCATCGACAAAACTCAACGATTTACAAGGACGTCGACGGCTCACAGGCCTGCCAAGAACAGGACAGTGCCGTCTTGAGCTTCGTTGCTGGGTTAGTCACCCACTCAGCCATTGATCCCGCACAGATCGTTATTCTCACGCCTTGGTTCGCTAATGCGGTACTCATCGAACGTAAGCGCAACCAAAAGAGGTTTGAAATTTTGAAGAATATGCCGGAAGCCGCCACCATCGAAAGCTATCGAGGAAGAGAGTCCGATATCGTTGTCGTAGTGATGTCCACCACGCGTGACACGGGACCCGACATGACTGCGAATGAGCATCTGCTCATCACCATGCTCACCCGCCACAAGAGCGGATTGGTCATTTTTGGGGACATTTGTACGAGTGGTGTGATCGGAGAAGACCGTAATGGGAAGCTCTTCAAAATCAACAAACCTGGACAGGAGCTCAATGCGCTACAGAAGATCGATGAGACGCTCTTCGATCAGGGGCGAGTCGCTGTGTATTCTACGAAGTTGGGCAGGTAATTACAGGGGTTGAAAGACTCCACGGCTGTCTATACTGACTGTGTGGGTAATGAAGGCCCCAATGTTGTAAGATTAGCAGATCTTTCCTTGATGGTTTGAAGGAGTGTTGAGATAGATGATGCAAAGCTCCATATCAATGTTCGCTTGGTCGCAGGTCCCCTGTAATAGTTGATCGCTTCGATGGAAAGTCTCAGGCCTTTTCTCGGAATACAACCTGAATGTATGTTTTGCTTCGCTGCAAGGTGTAAATTGCATCTCTAAAATTTCTTTGTGCTCGCAGCGTTCAACTTGGTCCAACACGAGTAACAAATCACAGGGCTTGAGCTAGATACCACTCTACCTTATCGTCCTGATAACTTCGGTGGAATACTTGGCTGCGATGATTTCGGCAAATGTGTATGCTGTGCTAGGCAAACCTTGACCATGTTTTACCATCTATTTTAGCGACGCGGGATTCGACATGAATGGCCGTTCACTCGTAACACACGGAGACCTTCTAGTCTGATGCTAGCATAGCTATCGATGGTAATTGGACCGAATAAACTTACATGTCTTGATTCTGCACTCTGAACTCAAGTTGGCACGTTTCAGAATACAGCTTTTACTTTCTTGCCTGCTGAAGTGCCACTGGTTAAGATGTGAGAAAAGGCTACCTAGCAAACTGTCAAATCGAAATAGAAGGTCGATGTGGCTACCACTTAGCCGTGTCAGTTTGTTACACTAAGCGTTGGGCATGATATGCATTGCGTGTTCAAAGGCGGCCGGCTCTAGTCTTGCAGGTCGGCTTTTGTGCTTCATTGTACCAAATTTGAACGAAGAGGGGCGACAGCACAGTACAAAATCGGCGCAACCATGACCGGTTGTAGCTCGATTCACCTCGCAAGGGTATCCCGATTCAGACGATCCTCTACGTTTGTGTCTCTCCGGGTCATCGTTTTCGTGCAACAACCATTGTAACAGACCTTCTAGTTCCACCAAAGTACAGCTGAGTCGGTGGACTCTTCAGACGAGCAGTTTGGTTGCTTCCAAACCGGAGCGCGCTGGTTGTGCGAAGCCTTAGGTAGGCTTTGGCCGGGGTCCGGCGAATTGTGAGCCTTTAATCACTGAAAAAGATTTAGATCGTCGGCCACACTTCAGTAACTCTGAAAAGAATATTCACTAAAATTAAACATGTCAGATTTCAGCAATGAGATCGACACGGAGATCGGCGCTGCCTCCTGGGAGCAATCGCCAGACGCATCTTCTTCAGCACCGACCAGCAACTCAGCAGACCGACAGCCCAAGGAGATCCAGACACGAATCTCTACCAGTCTTGTCTCCTGGTATGCCCTTTGCCGCCTAGGTTATGAGTTTCTTCAAGAAGGAGACACCTTTGTCATATCCGGGATTCTCGGATCCATTGATTTAGAGGAGCTCTTTAGATACAGTGAGCCTTACCAGAAGGCCGATGAACAGGATCAAGGGTCGCGTCCGTCAGTCCAGCTTCCCAACGAAAGAATTCCGCTAGGGCTTGACGATGACAAACCGGCTCACTCTACCCGTATTGCACCGTGCTCACCAACTCCCAGCAACTTTCATACCCACCCTATCGCGCCCAGCGATACGAAGGACTCAATAATGAGGCCGTGGGTTAATCAACTTCTGGTGTCAGACACAGTCCACTTGGGTGACGTCAAGAAACAGCCCCGTGGCTCTCGAGGAGGACAAAGATCCTCGGATACATATAATGCCTGGGTTAACCAGACGTCTCTTCTTCAAGATGGAGAGGTTTCTACAAGGTTAACCACGATCTGTAGTGCGCATTGCTATCATGAGCACACGAGATCTCACAAAACTGTTTTAAGGTGTACCCCAGAACAAAAGGATGGAGTTGGTATTGGGAGAATGAGGTGGCTGTAAGTTTTAACCGCCATATACAATCCCTTACTTCGGGTGTTGATTCCTTACTAATTATATAGTCACTTACATGGCACCAAATCAGACTTAAGAACCTTGGAAGTGCGCATTTATTTCCCTTCGACATACCTTTTGCATGACCCTGTCCTTTTGTTCTCTGCTGACGCCAATAGGGCCTTGTTGCTGACTCCCCATTCATATGCCTTCAACTCAAATGTGTTGCATTAAGTGTCATACGCGAACTGATGCAGAAACATTCTAAATTCGAAGGCAAGAGTCCATAGCTCAACACAGGGACTGTTCTAAGACAGGTAGGGCGTAGCATATGGGCCTCTGAACAGGGGGACCTCAACGGAACGCAAGATACTGAGCCTGTAGTTTTTCTGTCAACTCCCTTTCTTGCACTACCAAGAATGGCACTTGAAGATTGCACGGAGCAAAAATACACCAGAAGACTGCTTGAGTTTCTTTATGGTTTTAAAACTGGCGGCATCCAGGAAACATCATTCAGCAACTCAACTCAGGGAGGCCGGATATCCAATCTTTCGCGCATTTTAGATATGCCCGAGGCGCTCTTCTTGATGATTGGTGGAGGTACATTCTCCCCAACGAATGCAGTTTTTAAGTGATCTGATTGCTTTCCAGGGACTTTAATTAGCTCCTCCATGTTGTCATGGGAACAGATGATGTCGGGTACTGTCAGTCTCGATATCAGTAGCGAAATCCACAGTATCTGGCCAGTCGTTTACAGGGTTCGAATTCCAAGCCCCGAAACTTATATCATTATCGCGGAAAATTGTTCTTATTCGGTTTGTTTATTCTGCTCCCATAGCCAGATTACTTGTTGACCCAAGGGAAAGGAGTTTAAACAACTTGTCTTCAAGTCGTCGGGTAACTATGGCCTGGATATCGATGATTTCCAGCTTGTTGATGAGCATGAACACGGTGTTGATTCAACCACCTGGTTTGGCTACTTGACATCAGGCGAGGTTGAAAGACACTCTTTCAGATTGGTAAGAATCTCTGTCGAAACCTCAAGCGATGTTCCTCGAGACCCGGGTTCGGAAGCTTTCAACGGTAATGAGAATGAAAGCATCGAAGAGACATTTGACGAAGAGAGTTCCGATGGAGAAACCTTTGAAAGAACTATGGAAGCCGCGAAACAGATGTTTTGCCAAAGTATAGGTAAAGGGACACTTGTTCGAAACATGCCGCCAGTACTTCCGACACTGCCCTCGATATCTTTCAACAATACGGCCAAGAATCACATTCCATTCTTCGCTTGGCCTTTGACCCAAAAGACTGGCAATAGTTCCCACACAGATGGTGACATGGCTCTCACGAGGTTACTAGCCATGATCGATCAATCTCTTCAAGAGTCCGGTATTACTAAAGACTTGCGTGCGTTTAGCACGAGAGATGAAGTGGTCTACAAATGCCGGGTCCTCCAATTAGCCATAGAAGGTGTATGCGTGCCGACACAGGAGGCTCAAGAGCCCCTTCCGTACCCGCAACCTCCCAGCTCAAACCATATGCACAGAAATCCAGGATCTGAGATTCTTGCCACTCTTCTGGCGCTATCGGAAGACATTTTTGATCATTTTCTTCCCCCAGCCAGTTGGTTCCTTGTCCCGGCTGTAGGTGCTTATTGGGGCGCCTTGGATTCGATCATGCGTGTAAGCTTCTGAATATCCTTACTTTGAATGCTGGCTTGCTGATGATATTGTTCAGCAGATATATCTTTCATCACTACGAGTGAATACATTTCGTCAGAAATGTTCTTTCATGATTTCAAAGGAAATTCCAACTTCGGGCTCTGGATTCACGTGCCTATACATGAAGGCTTTACCGCCGCATGGCTGTGAAGATTGCAATAATGATACAGTGTATTCTTCTTTATATGGCGCTTTATCCCACCTGCACAGATATCACATCCATTGCGCCCCTGGAGATCGATCCATACTCAATGACCCATGCTTGGGATGGGTTAAGTGGCAACCTTTCAGTTTCGAATCAAAGAACAACATCCTGTCTGTTGCATCCAGACTTATTGATAACTTAACTGATGTTCGAGAGAGAACAAAAGAGATTAGCCTGTCCGTCAGCGGCAAAGAAACACGCGTCCCCGGAAGCCTCGTATCTTGCTATGAAACTCTCACCACCTTATTATACAAGACTGCAAAAGAGCTCTCAGCAATGAACTCTGAGCGTTTACAGAGTATCAAGCGATCCAATGGGTACCGGCTATGGCAGGGAGTAGCTTCACGCGCTCGGACTCACAACCTCGAAGCGAAGTTGAAATGCCAGCTTGAAGACGCCAGACGAGATGTGATGATGACTAGCGAGACCCAGACCGATACAGACCGCCTTACCATCTCACCGATAGGCCTTGAGTTTCTACTTATAACGCTACTGCGGAACCTTCATGACCATCCCATTCATCCAGAGACAGATCAGAAGCTGGACGTAGTCAGGTATTGCCGCGATAAGTCTACTGCACTTCGGTTTGCTGCGGTTCGTGACCCAAGACGTCGCAGATTTCTTGAAATATCTGCTCTGGAAGAGGAAATGGAGGCTTTGCGGATCGTTTTCGAAGTTCAAACACGTACGGTCAAGGCCTTTGCTCAGGTTCTGAGCCCCGACTTCTTCCCAAAAGACACTACAGATCGGGCAGATCTGGGAAACCGCAAGTATATGTATGGTCTGGAAAAAAGGCACTTAGACACGCACATACAAAGTCTTGCTGAGGATGGAAAGACACTCGAGATACTACAGAGGATCTTGAACGCCACAAGACACGACATGAAACAGATGATTGAGGTACTCGACGAGGGTCACGGAAAGGCTATCAGAGTATTTACCTTCGTCACATTGTTCTTTCTTCCACTGTGAGTACCCTGCGTTAGAGTTACGTATGCCCACTGATCTGATGATGCATAGCTCTTTTGTGACAAGTTTCTTTGGGATGAACACTACAGATGTCCGTGAGCTAGACAGAGACCAGAGGGTATTTTGGTCATCTGCGGTACCTTTGACTCTGGCAGTTTCCAGTCTTGCTCTGGTTTTTGGGTACAGGTGGGACACGGTCACCGCATTGTTCTTCAAGGCATTCAAGATTCGAGATTCATCAAGAGTCTATGAAGAGCTGGAAAAGGATCTCATTTCTCAGCTGGGTGCAGAAAATGCTGGAACTAGTTGTAAAACCGATCTCTCCGCGGCATCAAAACTTGGAACATCATCAGGGCTTCGCATTGAGAGGAGATGGAAAAGGAAACCGTGGGAGAAAAGGATACCGGAGCCGTTTAAGGGATTCGAAGTAGTTTAGTCTCGCTAGACAGAAACTGTATGTACCAAGATGTCAAAAGATTTTGACCTTAATGTGAACGGTATATTATTGGTAGCAACTCTTTCTCCAGCACACCATCCCACCGAAGTCTCACAAATAAATATCACTTGTCCCCTTTCGAAAATCTCTCTCGAGGCTTCAGGCTCGGCTGTTTTCTCTTTTCCTTTCTGACTGTCTTCTTTCTCAAATCAGGAAGTCTGAGAAAGTCCGCTCGATAACGATAGAGCGTAAGGACATGTTTGGGGGCGCCGATAGTGCGTAGATAATCGTGTCGACGACGTTCTTGTTTGTTATGCCCTCATCAGAACCACGCTGCTTTTGCCATTCGGCGCTGGTGGGCGACACATCCTCAATCAATCCAGGGTAAACTGAAGTAACGCGTACCGATGTACCCCTCAGTTCCTCCACCAAGCCCTGAGTGAAGCCATCCTGAGCAGCCTTTGCCGCTCTGAAAGGAAGTGAAGCACCGGTGAGTCTGGCGTACTGAAGGCCAGACATGGACACGACGTTATGAATGTCTGCTCGAGGTCGTTGTTTCAACAAAGGCAGAAGCTGTCGTGTCAAGATCATGGTGCCAGTGACAGCTGAGTTCACGACCGACAGGATCTGGTCATCGGTTTGCTTGTCGAAGCTGCCATCGGTGAAATGGGCTCCATTGTTGACCAAGATATCGATATCAGGATGCGATTCGGTGATCTCCTTCGTCGCTTTAGCCACGGAAGTAGGGTCCGAAAGATCACAGATAATAGGGTATGCCGTTGCACCACTGTTGCTCTTGATTGTCTCGCTGACTTCTTGCAATGCGTTTTGAGATCTTCCCAACAGTATCGGAGTAGCTCCTTGAGAAGCAGCGACGATAGCTAAGGCACGACCAAGCCCGCGGCCTGCACCCGAAATCACGATCTTTCTACCCTCCATGTTTGTGAATCTCGAATCTTAGATGGCGTTGGCTGTCCTGAGAGTTAGCTCTGTGTAGGGAAAGTAAAACAAAAGGCCGTGTAATAAGACTCTGGTAGCTTACAAATCAAAGGTGAAGGTGTTTCTCATTTAAAGGACAAGTGCATGATCGTGACAAAGTTGAAGCTTGGTCCGATGACAAATCAAGGTGTTCCGCTATCGGCTCGGCCAAGGCATGTTTTGGGGCCGATGCATTTTCAGTTGAGGCCTTGGCCTTGTGTATACGATCGAGTCAGATGATAGCGATTAGACATTGGGGATTCGCGCAAATGTTTAGCTCAAGATGCAGGTTGATGCGGTCAATCTTAAGATTCTCAGTTGACTGCCTCTGTCATGCTGACAGACAAGAGTCATGAAATGAGCTGCCCGTTCCGACACCTCTCGATGGACTCTATCCAGAATTGCCTTGAAACGTGTTCTCGGTTTGATGATCTACCAGCCTGTGGCCTGCTACAAGTTATATCGATCAAGCCATTTTCTCATTTCTTAAGCGATGGCCTGTCGTCAACCAGCGATGACTCTTGTTGGTGAGTGAGCATTTTAAGTGGGACTGAGTCAATTTCGCGGCGGCGAGCAAAACAACAGTCTCGTCAGATCAAGATCAAGTCGTACTCTTCTCAATTCGCATCATTCTTCGCTTGCTTGATCAATGTAATATGAATCGGCTCATGAGCACCAGTCAAATTTGCGCGCGCCGTGCAGGCTTCTTCGCGATCCCGCCCTCGCGACACGCCACTGCAATCAACGTCCCCTCAATCAGTATCAGCCTTCAAAAATATCGGGCCAGCAGCCAATGCTGTAGCAAAAAGAACGCCTCACAACCATCGACTCCACCACCTATAACATCTCGCGATTTCTGGACCTTGAAGTCGGCTTGGAAGAGGGCTTCTGTCAACACTACGCGATGCCTCATCGGGTGTACAGTCGGTGACTTTGCAGCCATGTGGTTTCTGCAAGCTTATTATCCCGGGCTCAGTATGGGAATAGTGATGCCAATCTCAAGTTAGTAGCCAATCAACTCCAACAGAAGTAAAACTAATCAGACAGTGGCCTCTGGTGTTTCAACGTCAATTCTTCTTGAGACGGTGATGCTACGTATCGGCCGTGATGGGTTATCCTGGCTCACGGCGATGAGGACAGCTGTCGGCATGAGTCTCATCTCCATGTTGACAATGGAAGCAGCTGAAAATGCAGTGGATTACTCTTTGACGGGAGGACAAGTTGCTCTTGACGACGCATCATTTTGGCTTGCTGCTCTGGTGTCGATTGCAGCAGGTTTCCTGGCGCCGCTGCCGTACAATTACGCGAGGTTGCGCAAGTACGGAAAAGCCTGTCACTGAATAGCCCACGAAAAAGGATCTTGCATCTGGGTTTGGGCTTGTATCATTATGTGTATTACCTCAATTATAGAATGAACGCAGATGGCATCTCCATTAATTTATATCACAATTAGTGTTCCAGGCTTGTTGAGTAAGTGACTTAGCATTTCCGGTAATCGTTTTCCGCCTTCGCCAGGCCGGGTCGTGATGCCGTGACTGGTGTCTGCCAAGCTTTACTATGACTCCAAAACCGTCCTTTTTGACACGACACAAAAGTAAGAGATAGCAGGCATTTCACTATTCTTCGAATAGGAAAGGCAGTCGACATGTGAGAAGACTGGCGGCTCAAATCTGGTGCCGACTGGTCAATCGAGTTTTGGGTACAGAAATTGAGTGCTGACATCGTGGAGCGGCCTCAACAAATAACTCCATGCATTCATCTCTCAACCATCGGCTTCAGAAACAAAACACCGCTTATAAATATCATCCAATCTACCCCAGAGCCCCGCCATTAGCCTGCAGCCAAGAAATCTCCAGATAAACAACCCCAAGAGATCTAGCCAAGCCTGGCGTTTTATCTCTTGGAGTCTCGACCCTTTTCCGGGACGTAGCGCGACACGTGAACCATCGGAGCTTCATCAGTCTCCGAACCATTTTGCGTGATAGCTTTGCGATGGGAGCAATTTCCCGGCGCAAAAAGTAGACTCCGTGGAAGCTGTTTGTCTCTTATCTCATCTTGAGTTAGATCTGTGACGGAGAGATGCCGTTTTGTAGCGCCGATGAGATTTGCCCTCGGATGTTGAAAGTAATGGTGGTGTCATTGGGATGATGATCCAGGGCTGGATTAAGCATACTTTATGCGTAAAAATACCCATGACTCGTAGCGCGATCTGCAAATTTGGGGTTCATGCACAGCGGACAGTGAGAATGGCAATGAGATTGAAGCCAGATTGATAACAGATAAACACACTGATGCTTCTTGACGATTACCGCTTTCTCGGGTCTGCTGCCATGTTCGCTATGACCATCTCCTCATTCTTGACTGGATCTAGAGTCGCATCGGCCATCCCATCAAAATCTAATGGTTCCCCCAGTCTCACTCACCATCTCCACAACCATAACCCCATGTACCATCAAATGAGACACTACACAGTTGTCATTAGCGTCACTCTCCCCTCCTAAATAACCTTGAAAGTAACCTTTTCCTTCCTCCGGCCTCTACTTCTGCCCCCGAAGGCCATTTACCCCAGGTTTACCACCACTTCCCCAGGTTTATTCCCCGCCCCCGGCGAAGATCACCGTCCAGAACCCATAAATATAGAGAGCCTGGACCTCTTTAACGAAAAATTTCTTCGTCACGCCAGACTCACCAACACAACGAGATCTAACAACAATGGCTACCACTACTGACCAGAAGCGTGAGGCGCCCGAGTTTGCGCATGTCAATAGCATCCTCGAGGATGAGAAGCCTTCGCAGGTGGAGGAGCGAGATTGGACGGGTACTGCCAAGAAGACAGACCCTGAAGAGATCCGCCTTGTCAAGAAGCTTGATCTTTGGATCATGGTGAGTGATCAACGCGCCAATGCTTGGCTGCCAGACTGACATTCGCAGCCTTGTCTTTGTGTCATGTACTTCCTCAACTACGTCGATCGAAATGCCATCGCTCAAGCACGATTGAATAACTTGGAGGAGGATCTCAACATGACTGGTACCGAATTCAACACGACTGTTTCGATGTATGTTGACGCCGCTGTCAAATTTTGGGATTAACGCTGATGAATCTAGCTTGTTTGTCGGCTACGTTCTTATGCAGGTTCCCAGCAACATGTTGATCACCAAGGTCAAGCCTGGTATCTACATGAGTGCTTGGATGCTGGTTTGGGCTGCTGTCTCTGCTTGCACTGCTCTTGTCAAGAACTATGGTGGACTGGTCGCTTGCCGATTCTTCTTGGGTATCACTGAGGCTCCCTTCTATCCTGGTGCCACTTACATGCTCTCCATCTTCTACACCCGCAAAGGTCCGTTCCCCGTTCGTGAGAAGTATACAAGATGCTAATGTGAACCAGAGGTCGCTGCTCGTATTGCCGTGCTTTACTGCGCTCAGATTCTTGCCACTGGTTTCTCGGGTCTCATTGCCGCTGGTATTTTTGCAGGCCTTGATGGAAAGGCCGGTCTTGCAGGATGGCGATGGTGAGTTCCTTAGCCTCTATCTTCAGGACCATCTAACAGTCATAGGCTCTTCATCATCGAGGGCGCTGCTACTGCTCTTGTCGCTATCGTCGGCTTTTTCATGCTTCCTAACACTCCCCTCACCACCCGCTGGCTCAACGAACGCGAGAGGCAGCTTGCTCACAGGCGCATGGAGAAGGACAAGGCCTACGACTCTGAGGAGGGTGGTTCATCCTGGGAGGGCTTGAAGCAGGCTTGCGCTGATAAGCGAACATGGCTCTTCTGCCTCATGCAGAACTTCCATCTTTCTGCATGCTCCTTCAACTCCTTCTTCCCTACGTGAGTGATCCCAGCTTGCTTTTCCTGTCCACGCTAACAGTGTCATAGTGTTATCAAGACTCTCGGCTTCAATACCACAATTACCCTCGTCATGACCTGCCCTCCCTTCATCTTTGCTGGTGCAGCTGGTATTCTCTTCGGTTGGAACTCTGGACGCATGCACGAGCGTACATGGCACATCACTGCTGGACTATCCATTGCCGTTGCTGGTTTCGTTCTGGCTGCCTGCACTCTCAACACCGCTGCTCGCTATGTCGCCTGCTTCATCTTCCCCATGGGTGCTTATGCTGTCAACTCTGTCATCATCGGATGGGCGTCTTCAACTCTATCGCAGACCAAGGAGAAGAAAGCTGTTGTCTTGGCTATGACCAACGTCGGTGGACAGGTAAGATACTCAACTCTCTTGTTGCATCACACATACTGACTTTGGCATAGATCGGTTACATCTATGGTGCCTACCTCTGGCCCAAGAGTGACTCTCCCCGATATGGAATTGGTTTCGGTGCCTCTGCTGGCTTTGCCCTGTGCTCGATTGCCTGCGCTTGGGCCATTCGCGTCCTCTTGATCCGCGAGAACCGCCGCATCCGCGCTTCCACCTCTGAGCAGGTCAACCTTTACGGATACTAAATGTGGAATGAGAAATGAATAATCTAGTCTATATATCTCGGGGATTTCTGAATAGATAATGTTCCGAATACGTGGCCCTTGTTAACGTGAATGTCGACCCATGTGAAGTTGATTGAGGGGGGTTTTTCAGCTTGCAGCATGCAGTCTCAGCCGCAGAAGTTTTTATTCGTTGCAATCACGCCAACACGTCCGAGAAGTGTCTATTGGCTTAGGCAACATTACCTCATTATCTTGGCTGACTGGGTAGCCCAGCTTAGCCCCGCACGGTTGCCTAACTTGGAGCATGCAATAAATACGCAACTTGGCTAGAGATAAGCCGACCTTACTCTTTCAATCCTTAGGCTTCTCTCCATCACCCAAGATGACCAACCTACTTCGTCAAGATATCCTCGCCAAAGCCCCAATCCCCCAAGATGAAAGCCCTCTTTATGCCAAACTCCCTGGAGAAGTCAGAGACAGCATCTTCTCTTATGTCCTCACGGATCATCCGGACCCAACACCGGACAAAAGATTCAAGGAAAACACATGCTACACTCGCCCTTCCTATCTAGCAGCTCAATCTACCGATACCAGACTTCTTCGTACATGTCGCGCTATCTATCGCGAAACTTGGTTCAAGCCATTTCTCCTTCGTGAGCATACAGAATGGGCTACAGGTGAAGATCGCGCTCCTCCACCTCACAAAGCTCCTCCACGCTTGCGCCCCATGCTCGCAAAGATCTCCAAATCTCTAGGCACAGACAAGGTTGAGATCGAGAGACTCAGAATCTTTGCTCAGATGTACAGGCTCCAAGAAAACGGCCTGCAAGAAGTCCTACGTACGCCCCATCTGGCTCCCCGCACCATTACGCTCACCATTCGTCACACTGATTGGTGGTATTGGGAGGAGGATGAGCCCCTGCAATTTGAAGGAAACTGGATCGAGGGTGTTTGTCAAGTGCTGACTCCCAGCACGACTCAATTCTGCATCGAGTTAGAGTCCCTCGAGCGTAAGAAGGACCAGGTCGACAAGATTGCCAAGCAGATGGTCGACTCATGGTTCTTCAAACGACCCGATGGCGTTGTTCTCTACGCCGATACATCAGATGCCAACCGCAAAGTAAGTCGCTGGAGCGGTTCAAGCACTTGGCACGGTCAACGCTGGATCCGAGATGAAACGGAACCCCACAAACTCGATTACTACATCGTCACCATCACGTTCCGCCCTCTGATCTCAATCGAGAGAAGCGGCGGATCTGCGAGCGAGAAAGCAATCAAGGAAGCACAGGATCCTCAAGCCCCGGAGCGTCCCAGGCTCTCACTTCCAGACAATGAAAAGAGAATAGAAACTGAGAACCCTTGTGAATTGGTTAGTGATTCAGATGGTGAGAGCGACTCAGATGAAGCATATTGTACAATGTTTGATTAATCATAATACAGACGATGATGGTTACGATGGATTGCCGCAGCCAGAGTCGGACAACGATGAGTGGTATGCGGAAATGGAGGAGATCTATGGCAATGGTCGATTCATGCAAGGGCTGTATGTCGGCCGTTTAGAGTAGTGTAAATAGAGTCTTCAGCTATCTTGTTTCATAAATACACTTTGCTAAAACTGTGGCCATCAATGATCCTGTCTGCTTATTTTCCAAAATGCCTCGTTTCAGGCTGCTTCAGCCCATGCCCAGAAATCTCATGGTGTGGCTGAAATTCCAACCAACCACCAACCTCAAGCATTCGCAAAATCAGGCTGTGCATGTCTGCCTTACCCCGCTTCTCAAGTGTCGCAAAGATGACCTTTTCTGTTGATTCAGTATTCGTTTGCCTCTTCGTCGAGCCTTGAGTTGACGATGAAGTAAACTATCCCGCTCACAAATAGCCACCAAAGTTAATCCAGCCTAGCCCATCGACAACCATCTCTACGCCTTCGCCTACACTTTTGTGAGCACCTCAGTCAGCAATGTGGTTCCTCGACGTGAAGACCTTGAAACTCCATAGTTTTGATGACGCCTCTGCATACCCGCCCTACGCGATCCTCTCTCATTGCTGGTATTCATCGGAACAGGAGCTGACCTTCAAAGACTTTGAAGATCTAAGTCAGCACACTTCAAAACCCGGATATTCCAAGATCGTCAGCGCCTGTCATGCCGCCATTACTCAGGGCTACCACTGGCTCTGGGCAGACAATGTCTGCATCAATGAGGAAGACGCGGTTGAGAAGGAGGAGACCATGAAAAAGATTTACTCAATGTTTCTAAAAGCAGGAGTTTGTCTGCTTTATCTAAGCGAGATACCCAATGCCAATATCAAGGATGATGATAAAGAAATATTATCTTCAGATATTCGAAAGAGTCGGTGGGTGAGTCGAGCATGGACTTACAAAGAATTGATTCCACCAGACAAGTCGGTATTTTATGCCGCTGATTGGTCTCGACTGGACCCAGAGCTTCAGGCCGAAATCAATACCAATATACTTGGAGTCAACCAAAACGATAGATCAAAGGAAGAAAGAAAGCATTTACGGTTTTTATCAGAAGGGCCGACAGGGGCTGTGCGACTGAGCTCGCTCCCATCCTTCAGATCTACTCAAAACGTCGATGAGGAGGACCCCTCAGTCTTTGAAGACCATTACGAACCTCCCCACAGCCCCTACAGACAGAAACTTAAGGAGGCATTCTTCAGATTTGGCAATATGATTGGTAGCCCAGCGCAAGACTTTACCGAGCCGAAAGTCAAACAAGCAGATCATGTTGATCTACCAATGATACCAGGGGAGGAGTTCCGGAATCTAGATCTCTCAGCAGTTGAAATTGAGAGAGACCAAGAGGAGCCGGCAACTCTCTTCAGCTCAGGTCGTAGTTTGCTCATCAACCAAAGATCCCCTGACATGTCGGAATCAACAAACTCATTCGCAAACAGAGGGGGTTTGTCTGGTGCTGATGACGTAAAGAGAGGTCACAGTAATCCGCAAGCAAATAGGTGAGGGTACCACAGTACCTAGATGCACAAGGATAATCTGTTGGGACAGTCAAAGCGGTATCCGTATTCTGATTCTTGACAACGACCATGCCGTGGGAAATACACTATCGCGGCTGCTAAAGGGTCTTATTCCGGCTCAAGTCACTGTTGACAGTGGCTACGTAGTCAACTTAAAGGGATCCGGTTATGACATTGTTTTCGCTCGTGGGGAGGGAAGTCCTTTGCTCTACATGCCTCCGAATTACAGTCACCGAGGGGCCGTTCGAATACTAAAGAAACGCCTCACGACGCCGCTTCCACCCCCTTTTGTTCCAGCAACTGTATCATTCGAGATATATGGAGAATACCAGGTCATCTGCGAGTCACAGAAGCAGGGGGACCTCACGGATCTTACATCAGAAGTACTTAGAGTTGAGAAGGTCTACGAGAATAACATCGCGCTGATGTTTGGCGTCGCAATTTCCGATGGCTCCGTCCATTGGCCACAAATGTCGTCCTTGAATCTCGCTTCGCACAACTCCCTCGGGGAGACTGTGGTGCAGGATCCGCTATTTGGTCGTCAGACTATTGATCTTGAAACTTCGAGTCTCTTTGATGGTCAGCGGGACATGGACCAGCTCCCAAATGCCGACCTCCGTCCGATAAAGGAAGGGGGGCCAGCGAACAGCTACCCTCTCGAACCAGGCCCTAGTAACACCTAAAGCCCTTCCAAGTATGGTAGTGTGCAAAGTGAGGACATCACGAATAGCCCATGTTCATCAACTTTTGACCTCACAGTCCAGAGTCAGGGGACGCGTCCGTCAACCGTTCCCACTTCTCTACCGCCCAAGCCCCAAAGCCCAAAGACAACAGAATGCCAAGCGGAAGAAGAGGAGAGCCTATCATCCAGTCATCACAGAGAAGGACAGAACCAGTGGTCTCCTGGCAAGTCTGAAAATAATCGCGCTGAATGCGATACAGCTACAACGTATTCTTTTGATACGCTCTCTGATGACCCTAAATTTGTATACTTTCAGGCCTTCATAGATCAGCTCGCTGATGATGTGAGAGCAGCTGCCGATGGAGCAATTCTCCAAAACCTTGGGCAAGGGTTTCTCGACCAAACGCTCCGAGATTTTGCGTGGAAGCTGCATGAAGAGTCCACAAACCCATTTCAACTTGAGACTTCTGTCATAATCCACAGAAGGAGAAGGTAAGCACAATATGGCTTTGAACATTAATATTTCTCGATTCATATTATTGGCAGGAATATTATTGACCTCCTCGACTTCCAAGTTCCCGCGCTGGAAGAAGCCGAGAGCGTGTCTGGCCAGAGTCTCGGGGACTCGCAGGCAGACGATGGAGAAGAAGCTTCCACAATCCATTTCAAAAAGGCCGAAGAGATGATCGCTGACTGGATAGATGACGTCAAATCTGGAGAACCGAACGATCTTTCACAAATGCCCCAGTATAGACAGTTCATCCAAGGATCCGAGGCTTACCAATGGCTTTTGACAAAGATTAGCCAGCAAAGTCGGCTATCTTGCGAAAAGCCTAGTCTGATGGATGAAATCGGCAACAAGATCAGAAGTAACTTGAGGGAAACCATTCCGCACCACAAAATGAGCAGAAAGAAAGAATCCATCGGGTTCGGAATGACATACTTTCTGGCATTGGATGTTATTGGAATGATGAAACGCTCTGGGATTTCCTCCTCCTTTGGCAAAGCCTTACCCAACATCCTTTGCTTCACCGGCAAATGGGATGAAGCGCAAGCTACAAGTGTTGCAGAATATATGGACCAAACATGGCCGCATTCTGAAGGTGCCATTATTTCCCTGTTACAAGACCTACTATCAGACCAAGAAAAGTTTTTTAGTCGACTTAAACCTATGCCTCTAAAAACTCTTCGATCTGGTACTTGGACAGAGCCTTCTTGGCCTGAAACTCCCCGTGGGAATTATTCGACTCATTGTATTCTAACGGGTACCATGAAAGAAGGCCGGGACACAATTGTCCGATACGAAATCTCAGCCAAGGGGGGCTACTATGCTGTTTCTGAGGTAGGTGAACAGATTGCTTGGTTGGCTTCTGTCTTTACAGTACACATGCACACTGGCTTCAGATCGATCATGCCACAAATTACCAATTTCTCCGCCAAAGCCTTCAATAACAGCAGTGGAAGCACCACTGCTCTGCTGTTATGGGAAAGTGCTCCTTTTCTTTCTCCGCTCGCCCCGAAACCGCTTTTAAGCCGAACCAAGGCTTCTGCTGGGAACAGTTATTTAGCTCTGTGAACATTATACGTGGCTACCCAATACTACGACGTTCAGTGCCGAAGTCTGGCCTCGAGGTGTCTTTGCGATATGCAGCGTCTATAGTGGGATCTTCCGAGGTTGTGCAGTGGGACCAGAGACTAGTGATAAAAGGTTTCAATATGCTGATGGCCGCTACCCAAGCAACTGTTGATGTCGTGGTATGGCATCTCATCGTCAGTGGGAAGCCTAAGGAGAGAATCTCATACATCGACCAGAGGCTCGATCATATTGATATCAGACCTTCTGACGAAATGTCCCTTCGGCATATTGAAGGCAAACGTCACATTATTGGGTGGTGTACCAAAGCGACAGACTACTGTGGTAAGCCAAACCCTCTTCTGGGTCTATCTTTACACCAAATATCAGATTACTAACTCATAGGAACAGGACATCCTACTGCTAATCACGACATCAAGCCCGGCGGTCTGCCGAAGGCATCACCGTCCATTATTATAGACAAGCTATACATAGAAGGCGGAAGTCCTGTTACAGCTGGTCTCATGATCGACATCAACAAAAAGGCGCAGCCCTTTTGGCTCCAAAGAGAAATGGGCTACCCGAGTCTTCTTAATTGGGTAAAACTTCAACCCATTGTGTTCTACGATGTTGAAGAACGTCGAGCATGGCTTGTCGACGGTGCTTCTGCCCTGCTCCATCTCGTCCGCATTTCACTTCACCTGGATATCAATGACCCTGAATCAGCCTATGACTGGGTATATGATCCCATCAAGCTCAAAGACCATTGGCCAGGTGTTGGAAGTCGTCAAGCAGCACTTCAGACTTTAAAGAACTGGGAAAACAGGGCATTAAATGTTTACATTGTTGACAAGCACATGGATTCGAATGGTACACCAGTTACTAAGTATTCGACCTTCGAAGAGCGGGTAAAGAGGATACTTCACTCGATAGAGAAGTTGATCGATCGGCAAGCCCAGGCGGCATCTCAAGATGGTATCAAGATCTCTCAAACCTTGGACCCACGTCGGGATGTTTTTGGTTTCGACATCGCGGATGTCATTAATCCGGCAGTTCCTATTTACCCGCGTATTCAGCATCTAAATTCATGGGGACACGGATGGATCGACTTAATACCGACTATTGGCATAACTGCCCTCTTTGGGCGGGGATTTGGAGATCTTATACGAGCTGACGAACCTGACTTGATCTGCCCAAGCTGGAGATCGGTTCCAGCAGGAAAAGACTATCTTGCTGCTTCAATATCAACAATGCAGATGCTCCATGAGAAACGTCTCCTTAGGATGGAGCCGGGCCTTACTGGAGGCGAACTGACCAAGAAGATTACTTGGGTAGCTGCCAAAGAAGCATCTCTGTATTGCAAGTGCTTCAAGGGGCAAGGTGGTAGTGTTGTCCAAACTGCTGGGTCAGAGTGCAATCACAACCCTGTCCAGTTCCTTGCCAAGAAATGGTGGTCCCGTACTATACCGCACGGCTTGAAGCCTGTGCAATTAGGATCTCTTGATGCTGAAGGGGCTGTGATATTTGGCCACACTGTTCTAGGACTAAGAACTGGAGACAGATCGACGTCGAGACATGCAGATGATGATGGCGAGGCCTCGATGACAAGCGGCGAACAGGCCCAAGATGCTTCAGCAACTGGCTCAATCGTGAGTCAGACTACATCCATTACTATCCCTAGTGTCGGCCATTCCAGCCATGACGCGGGGAGTGCTCAGGAGAGTTTGGATGGTACAAGTAACGCGACAGGCGAGGGTAAGAAGAAGAGATGGTCAAAGTTCAAGAACTGGGTCAAAAGATGAGTGTTGCATAGGTTTATTTGGGTGCCTGATGTGCTTTTTGAGAACAGACTGTGTGAATAATCCCATTTAAATGATTTGGGAGAGGCAGGATATCCGAATATTTATTTATCGGTCAATCCATTCCAACCAACTTCGTAGTCTTCAATGCCTCTTTACTCCACGGCGCAAAGAGTAGAAACCTCCACAAGCCCTCAGGGATGATGCCTGGTTCTTCCATTCATCGCCTTGAAACCAATCGACTACTGAACCACACAGGCAGCGGATCAATTCTTCTTGCTCAGGTCATGGCCCAATTGTGTTATGGTGCAAAGGTTAAGATGCTAGGGCACTAACAGACACGGCTGACATATGCGTATAGCTCCGTTAAGTCACTAGTGTGCTACTTAGCCGCCGGGGTCTGGGAAACAAGATAACAGCACCGGAGAGGCAACATAAACAGCATTACGATTTAATGGCAAGTTTAATGTTGGAAATTGCTCTATAACCTATCACCGGTGGATGATAATTAAGTTACAACGAGAGGTTACAGACAATGTCGCTTCTAAATATGACTGTCACATTCTGATAGCCCTACGCCAAAGTGCATTCCTTCGCCCATAAATGACTATATTGTGCGAGATTACATGCTCACGCGTGAGATTGATCAGTTATCACTCCGAATGGAACTTTAGTCTAAGCGAAGTGCACCCAATTTAGATGAAACGAGCAATACATCCGCAACAATCACACGACGTCGCGACCGTTTTGACGCATGAATTGTTTGTGCCGTACCAGGAACTTACCCGCCCTGCTTCGCCTTGTCCAGAGCTCCACGAATGCTTTGCCAGCCTTTAAGCATCAATGATCAAATCCGAGTCGCATCCCAGCGCTCGGACTGGGAACTGGAATGAGAATCATGCCACTCTCAGTATACAGAGATCAGAATTGGTGAATCATGTAAAAATCTATCATTACGATATAAAATCTATGTCGTGCCGTGTAGGCTTATGCATAAGCTTATTGATAAGCCTTGAATATATGTCATGTCCAAAAGTCGGGTGAATGCGCCCGTCATGAAGAAAATCCAACACGCGTTTCGCGCGGAATGAATGAAGGTCCCCAAGCTGACTCGTCGTCAATGCTACTCGCTACTCCAAACGCCTTGTTTTAATGCCGATGCCATGTGATAAATGTCTAGTAGAACTGAGAAATGTTAGCGACGGTCTGCAGGGCGAAATGGCGGGCAGGAACTTACAAGGTTGAGCGTCCAGAGGAGGACAAAGAGGCCAAGCATGCGGAGCTTGAGGTTGTTTGCCCATGAGGACTTTGAGGGCATGTGTCGCGTAAACCCAGAGAGCATGTTGCCATTCATGAGAGGCTCCGCATCAGCCTTGGCCTCTACATCGTATTGCTCATCCTGCTCCTGCGCAGCCCAGTCCTTGGTCAGAAGCTTGACCATTCCACCAGTAGCATCAGCAACGCGAGAGCTGATCCACAAGAAAACGGGAACGATGATGATCAGAGACCTCCAGCGGTCGCAGAGGAGGCTACCGTCACCCTTGAAGATGTCGAGAAGGAGAAGGCCCTTGGTATCGGCAGCGAGAAGGATGTGGAACTGAAGGGTAAAGGTCTCGAGAGAGCATCGACCAATCCAGGCGAAAGTTCGAGAGTACCATGTACGAGCGGCGGGGAACATGTTGCGAGCAGCGATGAAGCCCATGATAGGAATGAAGGAGAAGACGGGGTGAAGGGCAGTGTAGTCCTGCTTGCTCTCGGCGCTGCTGACGGCAATCCACCAGTACAGGGGGATGGAGAGAATGCCAGCGACACCAGCCAGGCCGTAAGACTGGGTAAGGATCTTGTTGTACAGCTTGGTTCGGACGGAAGCGACACCCATAATAATACCAACGTAGACAATGAGACCATCAAGACCGAGACGGAACTGCCACTCGTGAAGATCCCACTCAATTCGGAAGACCATGTTCAAAACATCAAAAACCCACTGCAGGACGGGTGTGTAGAGCATAGCTCCAGGGCAGATGGCGGCAGAAACAGCGATCTTGCCCATGAGCGCCCAAGTGTTGTCGTTGTACTTCTGGCCAATTGCGAAGAGGGCATAAATGATGAGGAACCAGAAGCTGACGAGGGGAGCGAAGTAGTAGAACATGTAGTCGGTGTTCATGAAGAAGGGCAATGCGCAGCTGAGAAGGTTGAGACGGAGAAGAACGGCGGCGACACGCTTGAAGGAAAAGTCCTTCTTGGAACTGAAGAAAACACCATGGCCGAAACCAGTCTGGAAGAGATAGGCGGCAACGAGGAGACGGATACCGACGTAGATGTTGAGGTCGCGCGAAGCACCAGTCCAGTGATATACGAGGATAAGAGCCTGCATCCATCCCTTCCACTCGTCGGTCTGATCACGGGACAAAGGCTTCGCATCGTCGAGAGTCGCGGGGGCAGCAGCGGGGGCGGCGCCAGGTCGAGGAGGAGGAGGCTTGGACTTGGTCATGAAGGCAAAGCCGACAATGAAGCAGAGAGCGGACATGAGGTTGAAGTCGAACATGTTGTACTCCTTGGAGCCCTTGGCGAAAGACTGTGTTCGGTCGGCCCAGTAGCAAGCAAGGAGACCGGTAACGAAGGTAGCGAGATCGAGGTTGAAGACGACCCACTTGGGAGGCTCGCCAGATCGAAGAGCAAGAATCTCTGTGATGGCAGCACCGCCGACGTAGAGAACACCGAGAGTGACGAGGATAATCTGGACGAAAGACTTCTGGCCATAGTCAGTGCAGCAAGTGCGGTCATAAGGATAAGACTTCTGGATGTCGAGCTTGGCGTTGCATCGAAGGTTGAGAAGGATCTGGGCCTTCATCTCCGCAACGCTGTCGGTGACATGGAAGCCATTCTCGTGGTCGCCGATAGCATCCTGTTGGTCATACGACAAGGCGGGGAACGACCACAACATGGGAATACCAGACTCTTGTTCCTGTGTCTTGAGGAACTCGTCAATCTCTTCGACTTCGCCGGGTTGCGAAGCGACACCAGTCTTGCGATAATCGGGGAGCATGTCGTAGAAGGGCGGGGCAATTGGTGCCCAGAAGACTTCATTGCCAATTCCATCGCGAGGGTCCATGGGTCGGTTACCGAAAGGCTCAAAGTCCATGTTGGAAGCGAGTTCAGACATGTTGTTAAAGGCGGCCTTGAACATGGGAATAGAGTCTTCCTTCTCGAAGCGGGCGGCGAACCATACTCCCATTCCCATGAAGGCCAGGGCGGGGCCTTTTTGCTTGTCGACGGGGACCTCGTTGATCCTCTCTTCGTGGTAGAGGGTGAGTTCGTTGCGGGCGATGGCGCTGTCGTTGCCGAATGGATCCCAGATTTCCTTGAGTCGAATGCCGCCGAATTCTACATCGTGGCTTTCGTGCTTCTTGCTGTTTGCTCGTACTTCCTCGGCCTTTTCTGCGTCGAGCTATCGTGGTGTTAGCGACTGTTGGTCATGCAATTGAACATTGACCAAATAATTCGGCAACACATCTACAATTAAATTATCATCGACTTACCAGACGAGCCATGCCATAAAAAACCTGTCTAGTCGTAGAGTCACCGACAAAAAGCATGTGTCGTCCCTCCATGCACTCCTCAATCTCCTCCTTCTTGTACTTGTGGATCATACATCCGGGAGGCTGCCAGTTTGTGAAGGGCGCTCTGCTTCCATTCTCTGCAGGAGCATTCAACCAGGTTCCATCATTAAGCAGAGCCTTACAGCGATATGGGTCATCGCTCAGTTGAAGCTGATTGATGGCGATGCCTAAGATGACGACCAGCGTCAAGCCAAGGGCCAGCACCCGGTTAAGCGCAACACCAGAAGTTGGGAGTGCTGCGCCTATTGTCATTGCGACGATTTATTTTTAGAGATGATGAGTAACGATTGTTTGTGGCGCCTAGCGGGCCGAGCGAATGACGAAAAAGAGAGAAAACGGGAAAAGAATTCGTTATGTTGAAGATGAAACCATCTGAAGGACAAGAATCCAAAATGGCGATGGACGTTGACGTTGGTGGAGTTTTGTTCAAGGGAGCGAGAGACAGACTCTTGGAATGCAAAAGAGAGCTAGAAACTAGAAAAAGGAAAGCTGAGACAAATAAACAATGGAAAGTTCAAGACAAGCGTAAGGAGGGACTTGACTTGCGTTTTGCGTTTGCGCGAGAGGGAGACGGAGACGGGACAGACGATCACTTTGAAACGATGAAAAAAGATCTACTGTGAGGAGTATATGAGGTAACAGTACGCGTAAGTCTTCTGGAGTCTACAGGCCTGCAATTGCCCTACGGATGCCCCTGATCGGCAAAGCAAAGGCTGGCATGACCCTCGCAGGGTTCCACAATCGACAAGAAGAGGACCATGTCAGGGTGTCACTTTGGTGGAGAAGACTGTGTGAGAAACTGGATCGATCAGCGTGAGACAGGCAGAGGCAGCGGCAGCGGCAGCGGTAACAGCGCCAGATAAACAAGTCTGGCTGCATGCGGTTACAAAGGTGAATAGTCGGTTGGATTTATCGTCAATAGTCTCGCAACGGCGTGGTGCTGCCCCTTACCTCGTGATACTGACTTTGCTGCTTTAAGGTTGTTTCTTTTAAGGTTGTGGGGGTCTAGAACCCATCAATAACGCCAAGTCTCTTTTCTCTCAGTAAAGAAGCCAATCGTTCACGCCATTTCTCTCTCGCAGTGCGTCTGCCCCTTACAGCTCCAGCGCTGACCCCCTGGCTCTTTAATCTCTTGGCTAAGAGCGCTAGACCAGATAGAAGCTGGGGGCTGAGTGGAAATTCTCAATCGCGCCGTTTGCAGTGGTTATCGCCAATTGGAATGTGATGGACCAAAACCTAAAGGAACGGGAAAATTAACTTGGTTTCGCCCCGAGATGCAACGCTCAAGCGACATTTTATGCTCTGCTAAACTCAAAAACCCAATCTTTCACTTTCCCCCCTTGGCCTCGATAAAGAGAGGCCAAAAAGCTTGAAGGGATTAAGGTTACAGAGGTGTCTAGCCCCAAACGAGGCAAGCTGCCGACCAATCCATGCCTGTCCTGTCGCTTGAGTCTTGACCACGGACAAAGTGTCTCAATCAGTTGTTGCGTCATTTGCGAAGCGCTGGTTTGGCGTTGTCTCCCCCTGTAATGCCCTCCCTTACAGGGGGTTTAGTCCCCTGGAACGTTGGTTCATGATCTGACGAGAGTCTTGGTACTACAGATAACGACCACGCGAGGTGGATTTAATTACATTACATCCTGCGGGATTCCGGTGATATATATATATAGTATGACCACCGCCTCATATTGGCGAAATGCGTGATTCTCATGTCAGCGACCCCGAATGTTATAACTTATTTTGGACCGTGAGATTCTGAAACCGGAAGCCCCCACTGATTCTTTGGTGTGGCGGTAGTTTTTCCGCCGATCGTGCGACAATCAGGTTTTTTTTGGTCTCGCGGCAAATAAACAAGAGGACAAGGACAAGGAAATTCCGGGATTAGGATGGAGAATGGCAAAATGAAGAGTTGCCAAAACTCAATCTCCTCAACATAAGCGAAGCTGGTGGAGAGTTGAATGAAGCTTAGGAAAAAGATGGAGCTCGGATTCCGATTGACGACTTCGGGCCAAGGGATGAGTGAGCGAACCGTTTTGACTTGGCAGTACACTACGCAAAGCTTGGCGATTGAGTTTCTTTGACGACGATTTGAAGTAACAGTTTAACCTTATGTTTATTGATGTGCAACTGCCGCGGTTAGTGGCATTGAATATGATAATTCCGAGGCTGACCACCAACTTCCATTGATTGCCGGCAGGGCTCGACTTGGTGAAGCAATTAGCCTGTTCTTTTGACCACGATGGGGTTCTGTGAGAATATCGTCATTTTGGCTGCGGGCCTGTATCCTCGGCTACAGAAGAAATCTTGAATGCATCCGTCGATTAGCATTAGCGATGGGACATGAGTAATTGGGCCCAAACGTCAGGTCTGTTTAATAGTCAGGTGCCTGTTGTGCATGACACCAGTTGGGCGTAATCTGTTTGTGTTTGTGTTTGGTCACTGTAGAGTTGTGGGGTTAATGCCAATGACAGCTTGACTCATTGAGTCACACCGGGTCGGCTAACACCCTTAAATGCTGGAAAACGGTCATTCAATAGAATGCACTAATAGCGGCCATACGACTAAGAATTCATTAGCGATTTCATTACCTATTCTGTCAGAACAACACTTCATCATTCGAGAATCTCACCCCATGTTATTGTCCTTTCTACTGTAGGGTAGCTTGATGGACTGGACTTTTGAGATGAACGCGTCACCTTCATCCACTGGGTAGATTGGAATGACGAATGCGTTCTGAGAGTTTTCTGCGCTGTGTAGCTCAGCCATTGAAGATAAATCGCCATTGCTCATCATGTAAAATAAAGTTAAGATCTTGAGAGTTCGTTTATTACGGGCGGCTGTTCTCTTGCATCGCTTATCATGTCTCACGTGAGCGAGCACATGACGGCGATCTTATTCATATCTAATCAGCGATAAACAATCTAATCGGGTCGCTTATCTTATCTGGCAACCAAGACATCCTTCACAACAGGGACAACACCATATATGTTGATAGATGCCAGCTAGCTATGTAATTATCAGTCGATGCCTTGTATTCACAATTAGCAAGAATGACCAGATTGAGCTTCTTGTTTATATGCCATGCTTGGCATGTTGTGAGCATCCAACAGGCTGGATCATGAGTCAAGTTGCCTATACTTCCTAATCTCCACTAATGACAGCACCAAGTCAACAACTTCCCGCTTTATGTAAGGATGGTCTAAGGCTATATAAAGGATAAATTTGAGTTCAGAGACAGCTTCTGAAGCCAGGGCATAGTAGAAAAAGGATAACACCACAATAATAACCTTAATCTGTTATCTTTTAGTCAACTATCATAATGAAAGTGTGTTCATGGGAACTGGGGAGCAACCAAGTCAAATACTAGCATAGTGAGAAAGTCATATCGTTGTTGGGTATAAAAGCATACGTTGCCTACCGAGTTGACTGACCTTGAAGCTGTAGCGGCGGTATCAGCTTCTATATGGAGGAGAACTAACTTCGGATCACATAAACAATACTCGAAACTAAGAAGATCAAACTTGAGCTGGAAGATGTAATTTCTTTTATGTAAATGGCTCTATATATCATAAAACCTTGCCACTAACTCTCTGGCATGCTTGAATTGGTAGACAACCAACGGCATCGGTCTTTGAACCAACAGCTGGAGATGCAGGCTGATCCTTCGACTCACATGCAAGTTAATCACGATTACGGAAACTCACCGAAGTGGCTGGCTTCTGTTCGATGTAATTGCTTTCGTCTTACGGATGATCAATCCTCTTCATTTTAAAATTGATTGTGCATCATTTGAGCTGACTAGACTTACTGGGTCAGTCAAGACTCGAGAAAGTTCATCTGAATTTCTCTTCTCTACCCTTCCGTTCTCCACTGACAGCATACTGAACTTTATCAAGCTTTTCAGGCCAACTTGTATAAAGTCCACAATTAAGAAAGTCAAAGAAAAGTCTGAGATTGAGAGTCACAGTTAGATTTGAGAGGCACGAGCTATGACGTCCCAAATACGGAAGGCACATCTTCTATCTTCTGTGCCACAGGATGCAACGGAAGATCTCCATCTTGCATAAAGTTGAATCAATATGGATGCCACCACAAATCTTAATTTAGATCTGACCATTCAACTCAAGATGAGAGCTCAGGGTTCTGTAAAGTCGAAACAGACTTTCAACCAGGCTAAAGTTTTCTGACTCTCAATAGTCCAGATGTTGATATCACTTCCCGTGGTGCTCTGAATTTTCACAGAATGAGAGCCAACTCATCTCGATAAATTCACCTCACAGGACATCAAAGAGTGTCTAGTGTCAGCTGAGAGATGCAGACAGAGTCTGGGTTAGTCACAGGTAGTCCCTGCATAATAAGCATAACTCAACCATCAAGTTACAAGCAATGCGGTATAGAACCCGTCGCCTCTCGCGCATGATCAAGAAGCACACCATCGGGATGCAACACCACATTCAACTTAATCAATTGCTTATTTTCGCGGGCGATTGCTTCATCGGGCCCAAGTCCCCATGGCTGCAGAAGTTGGTTGAGCAACATCGCCGCTGAACCCTTGCTCCAGCGAATCCTTCAGCCAATGTAACCAACCCATTTCGTCACATTAGTCGTCATAATCCCTCAGTTCAGATTTCGTCACAGCTCTAATCCGCACACATGCAACTCCATCGCATGCTTTTCACCCGTGACAGCCGCGGCCAAAGATGCCGCAATCCTTGCAACGCTGACATTCCTCCCCACATAATATCGTAGATTGCCAAGTTAAGATCAGCCACTTAGACAAAAAGCCCGCGAACTACCAAGAGATTACCCCATGGGGATATGGGCTCATAAACGTTGGTCGTCGACAACACGGGGTTGAGTTCCTCTTTGAGGATAGATGCGGGGATAGAGGTTGGGATTACACGAGGCCACCATCGCAGCCTTCCGAAAGGCACAGCAAGAGAAAAAGCTCAACTTGCATGTGAAGTGTCGGCATAGACAGTACTTAAAGACGGGGTAGCTCTTGAGACACGAAGAGTTTCTCCTTGGCAGATCTTGCAGTTCAATTGACCAATCGATTACTCGTTGCATCAAGCTCTCAGACAATATGCGTCTCAGCCTTCTCCCCTTGATTGCCCTCGCTGGCTCTGCCTTCGCATCTGGAGATTCTATCTCGACGGCCATTGATAACATCTCCAATGCCACGCTCGCTCTCAACAAGACCGTAGCGACGTGGCCGCAGACCCTCCTCGGTGCTCTGCCAATTACTACAAAGTCAACACTGCTCCTCACCGAGATCCACAAGGGCTTTGTGATCGCTCGCGAGTCTGAGCCACTATCTCTCGAGGAAACCCTCCAAGTCGCAAAGGCTACATCCGAGCTCAGCGCCGACGTCGAGCTCACCATCAACACCATCATTGCCGCCAAACCCAACTTTGACAGACTACAAGTCAGCCCCGTCATCCTCCTCAACCTCAACCTACAGCGCGCCCTTAGCCAGGACTTTTCGGAAGCGGTCATATCCAAGGTGCCCAAAGACCTCCAAGGAAACGCAAAAGCACTGGTACAAGGCATCGACGACAGTTTTGCAAGGGCTATAAGCAAGTACAGCAAACTACGAGGTTAATTGGGAAACGAGGGACGAGTAATGAAATGAGTGATAGACGCGCGACGACATGTTTACCTTTCTTGGGAGGCCATTTTAGCAGAGATTTTAATTTTACCATGAGTTGTCGAGTAATACCAGGTTAGAACGAGAGCAATTGATCTGTCAGATTTGAGGGAATTTGTTTATACCGATTGAGGAAGTTGAATATGAGAATGCCGAGGCAGATGTTTGACACGTGAGGATGTTGGTGAGGAGAAGCTCGTTCGACGTCGACTAGAACCAGGAACTGCTCGGGGGCTAACCTATCAGAGCTAGAGATTTGCATTGATGCTACCCAACGGAGAAGACATAAAACGGTCAACCTGTGTTATTATGCAATTCGAATTGTGAAATTGCATATTGATCAATGAATTGTTCGTCTCTGTTATCCTTGTAAGCTCTATGTAGGAATGCGGCGATGTCGGTCTTGCCGTGGGGTGGATTAATCGAGTAATTGACACTCGCGATCCAATCAGACTCACCGGAGCTCATACTTATTCAGTCAAGCCCAAATGAATCGTTCAATCTCACTGTCCTGTGTTTCCGTGTCATCCCCGTCCTCAGACTTCTCATTGCCCTCACGGCGTCTCCACTTCTTGCCCATGACCTCTTTGAACTCCCCAACATCCAACTGCCCATCCATGACCTTCTTAGTGAACGGACGAACAACCTTGACACCTTCGAGAGGTCGTAGAGTGGCCTCAACATCTGGGGCAACAAAAAGCACGGCACTGAGTCTTCGAACACCCGGAGTTCTTCTGACTCTATGACGGGTAGCTCGGATGTTGCCTCCACTGAGGATCACAGTGCACCAACCGGCAAGGACAACCGTTGCATCGCCAAGAACGGGTACCCAAAGACCGGGCTGCTCGGCATCTTCAATCTCGAGCCCCGATGTTCCGTCTTGGAAGATGATGGTGAAGGTGCCATAGTCTGTATGGGCACCGCATCCGTTGTCACTGGTCGGGTCGGCAGTATCCGTGTTGTAATCACAAAGACGGTAGTTGAGGTTGCCAGTCTTGTGGACTTGACCCAGATCAGCGCCGGTAAGCCCATGCAAGATGGACATGATCTGAGCGACTTAGGTGCTGTTGACCTCTTCAAAGAAGTCCAGGACGTCATTGAATCCATCCCCGGCCAATTTCTCGCGCAAGGATCCCGGAATACGTCCGTTACGAGCTGGCGACAGATCAATGGTGAACTTCTGATCAGAAGTGGCATTGTTCATCGCAGCTGTCTTGAAGATGCCCCGCTTGGGATACGCAGCATTCAGCGATGATGCATTCTCAGGATTGGCTCGAAGATGATCGAACAGACGCCGAATGGCATAAAAAGGTGCTTTGACATGGGGCTCAAAGGAGAAGATGGCAGAACTGGAGCTGAGCGCCTGCACTGAAGTGTCCAAGAGCGGGCTTGCGTTCTCAACTCCATGGGAGCCCAGAGAAGCAGCAGTGGTAGCCATGATCACAGGACGTTTTGAATGCAAAATGGTAATGTATAAGTGGTTTGTTCACGATATGATGATGAGAGTCGAGGGGATCTAGAGACTGCGTCGTCATCTTTAGAAGTGCGGGGAATATTGCGGGGTGGGACCTTGAACATGAGGCTTGGGAACTGATTGGCGTTGGTGATAAGGTCGTGTTACCTTCACTTCGTGGGTCTTGAGCTGTCGGGCAAACATACTTGCGCGTTTACCGTGATCGACTAACAAATCCGTACAGACGCACAACAGCATCCACCAAGACCAGCGACAGCATGAGCAAGAACACTGACTTACAGGAGATGCCCAAGGCTGTCCAAAGAAGGAGAGCGGGATGCAAACCAACTGAAGAGGCAAAAGAGCTGCCGTTGCGAGCCAGCAGTTGGTCCCATGACCCCTCATCAGGTCTCCTGTACATTGACTTCTCAGTCCAGTAGCACAGGAACGTGGTCTTGGCAATCGATGATCGCTGGGCTGAAAAGGCCCAGAATCGAACTTGGCGATCCAGCCCAAGCCACCAGCTTCATTTCCGGGGCCTCGGGTTCGTCCACGTCGTGGGGAGCCAACTCAAAGCAGGATGAGCTTGTCGGGGGTGCCACTAGTTCTCAGCCTAATGGGGCCTCTTCAGCCCTGTGGATGGTCTCAAATCAACATGCCTGAGCATTCTCCAAGATAGCGGTCGGATTCAAAGCAGAAAGTGTGCACCAGGGTAAGACAGATCGTTAGGGAGAAACAAGTTTCCAAACGATGTACCATAAAACCAAAGTATGGGGTAACGGCTCCGGACTTACGGTGCTATCGATCTCAGCATCTGCTGGTTGATCTCCGTTTTAGAAAGGAGATTAATGCACTACCCCTGTCAGACCGTTTGGTCCAAGGGGATCGAGCCCTTGCGGCTGAATTATAGTTTCATAGTTGGCGCCCTACTTCAGGCACAAGGCGAAGCCACACAGCGGCATATTCCGTTTTGCCCTTTCCCCTCAAGAATATCCTCGGGTCCTCGCGATGCCGGATCTTCGTGGCTGCAAGAGTGGTGTATTGAAGGGACGCTGTGGCGTGCTTGGTCGTTGCGATGTTGATGAGCAGGACTGAGGGGTTCATTTGGGTGACATGATTGCACAGATCAATACTGAAATTTGTTGTCCTTGCTTCAGAAGTTGTTGAAAGCATTGGGAATTCCTGTTTCTGTTTGGAAGGCGGCCGCTCGATGCCCCAACATAAGCTTATTGTAGAAGTCGCATCATCCCTGCTCAAACTGGAGCACCCCGACTCTTAAATGCAGAAAAACACGTTGATGACGATGATTTGATGGTGTTTTCTTCTTTCAGAAGAGGGTCAATAGCGACGCCTTCTCGTCAACGTTAAATCATTACCTCCTGCCGTAAGCACCTATCAGCGCCTCACCCCCTACACCATATCAAAGTGGCTTGACCACTATTCGACGCCGTCTTTGCGTCCTGCTGTCACCTTAAATCATCGCTCTTGCCGTTTCAGGTAGAAGCAAGCGAATACTAGCTTGAATGGCTGCATCTGAGGGCGAGACCTCAGCCCTGATCCCTTTTCTCGGGACCGATGGCTTGATCATCTTGATATTGGGTGTTGGTGGTATATAAGGTCTGGCGATGCCACAGATCTCCGACACATATCCAAGTTCGCAAAACAAGGCAATCGTTTATTACACATCATGAAGTTTAGCCTCACCTTCGCAGGCCTCGTTGGCCTTGCCGCTGCCTCGCCCTTTTCAGAGCATGATACCTCTGGTGGCCTCATGCGTCAGTACATCATCTGAACCCTCCAACATTGTTACTGACTCTTGCAGGCCGAACTGGAAAGTGCAACTGGAGGGACCAGCACTGCTGCGCTATCCCCGACAAGTACAAGTACTCTTCCCCATCCGACTCCAAGAACTACTACGGCTACGGTCGCACTATCTACGTCAAGTCCGGCAAGAAGATCCAAGACGCCATCAAGAAGGCCTCTCCTGGTGATCGCATCATCGTTGAGGCTGGTGAATACCCTGAGCAACTCGTCATTGACAAGGATGGCATTCAGCTCGAAGGCCGGGGCAATGTCCGCCTCGTCAAGCCCAATAAGTACAAACGCAATGCATGCACTGGTCTTACTCAAGATGAGAACAAGAATGAGCTCCAGGCTGGTATCTGCATCACTGGCTACAAGGTCCAGACAACTGAGTACAAGACTGAGCACAAGAGAGTCATATCTGTCAAGAGACCCGTTAAGGGCGTTTCGGTCACTGGCTTCAGCGTCAGCGGCTTCTCCGGCATCAACATCGCCATCATCGGCGCTAAGAACACCCGCATCACCAAGAACAAACTAACTGATGCTCCTGCTTACGGTGCTCTCACCCTTGGTTCCGTCAACACCGTCTTCCGTGAGAACGTTATCACTACCACTGCTGGCGGCTTCATCGGTATCTGCCAGGACAACTTGTCTGATGTGCAGACCGTGAAGAACGACATCTCTGCGCACCTGATTGGTGTCTGCGTTCAGACCAACAGTGCATTTATTGGTTACAACACCCTTCACGACAACTGTATTGGTATCTTTGTCGATCCTGGTGTTAAGGATGCCAAGATCGTGCACAATTACGTTGGCCCAACTCCTGCTGCGTGCGGCAAGACTTCTTCAGGCATCATTCTCGGCAGCGCTGTCGGAACTCTTGTACGCGACAATACGATTGAGGGACAGCGTGGAAGTGGCACTGGAGGAGCTGGTGCAGGAGTAGGTATCCTGATCTACGACGATACTTGCGTTGCTACTCCCGAACAACCCATTTCTCTTTCTTGCATTACTCTCGGCGGCAAAGCTCCCAAGGCCAACCATAACATTGTCATTCGAAACACCCTGAAGAACAATGACAACGACATCCTGAACTTGAGCAAGGGAACTGGCAATGTCATCAAGTGCAATACTTGCGAAAACCCTGCCAACATCCAGGCCGGACAGTGCAAGAAGCCTTAAGGGTTTTGATTTACCTGGTCGTTGGTGATATGAGGGTCTTATTGCGATGAATCACGAACAATGTTGGCAAGCAAAGCGTGAAGAAGAGGGTAATGGGTAGTGATTTTGGTCATTGATTGAAAGCAATGGCACGTAATTCGCCCGAACACGTATTCTATTCTATTTTCAGTGAATATTACTTGATTTCTGAGTTGAGGTATCTCACTATCTGATATGTGAATATGCCTCTGGCTCTGACTGCGGATCTTTCAAGCTCTCTGCCCAGATCTTGTTCTTGTTATCTCAAATCTACGAGAGGATTCCGACGCGCGTCGACTATTGCATCATCGTGTCAAAATCGAGAAGGTCGCAATCCATCAACTCGTGATTCGTCTAGTGCTCGGCATTTTTGTGGTGCTGTGATGGGGCTCTTGTCGTATGCCGAGACATCAGCCCTTGTCGACTTCAACACCAAGAATGATTTTCGCATAAGCTTCCGAAATATAGCTTGAACTCGATCATATCGCTGGTTGCTACGTAGTAAATCGCCGATTTGTTTAAAATTCTCTTGTCATTCAGTCGATCCCGGCTTGGCGGAAAATACGACGAGGACTGCTTGAGAAATTGCTGAAATCTTGTTTTTGGGACAGCTTCGTAGTTGGACGGACTAATGAGATCTGACAGGGGTCAGCCACAGCATCAGCCACTATCGCCTAGCTTCTCGACTGTTTGAGCTTCAAGGTTATTTACAGCTCTAAAGTTTAACTGAATTATGGATATTTTAACGTCTTAGAGTTAATGCTTTAGTGCAGCGTAAGCTCTGGGCCAACAAAAGATCACCCGCCTTGGATCTGACATCAGTTGACCTGCTCATCAATGAAACTCTGTAATCTTTGCCCAGACAGAGCATCACGGACTTGAGCTCCGGTACAAACTATGAGCTAAACACTGAATCATCAGCACAAATTAGCAGGTTTCAAGAGCCTTGGCCAAGCATCGATCGATGCTCATTCCCGTGTTATTAGCCAAAACAACACAGATCGCCAGAATCAAGCCACACTTGTCCCAAGCCAAGACACATCCCTTGTCCAACAGCCAAGGCCATGATTGGTTGTCCGGCACGAAACTGCCGCCTGCAAGCCCGCTCGGCATGAGTCTGCCGTCCAAGGCTCACTTTTTCCTGGAAAAAAAGAGATTTTGAGCAATGACGTCGACTGTGGCTTTACGTAGCGAAATGAATCTGCATGCTGTGACAGGTGCCTACAGGGCCTACAGGGCATCGCTGTTGCTGTGTTATTGGTGTTGGCGTGAAACGGTTGAATGACGTTAGTGACGTCAACAGCATGAATCGCGATGGATGTCGCGTGTCACAGTCTGTCGCTCTCCACGGATTTATAGAAGGGCAAGCAGCCTCAACTTGTTTGTGAACGGCAGGACAAGAGCCAGCAAAGTTCTTTCAGTACCTATTAATTTTGGGTGCAGAGCCACTCAATCCGTGGTCGGCTTTTCCTTCAACATCATCATCTAGCATCACCAAATCGCCAACATGCCTTTCTTCCGTCGAGAAAAGTCCCCTCACCGGGCTTCGCCTGGTACAAAGACCCGTCACCACCAAAAGGCAGTTCACGACCCTCTGCCCATGTCGCGACGCCCTACTTTCGGACAGTGGCTCAAGGGAACATGGCTTGACATTGTCACCATGGCCTGTATGGGCGCTATCGGTCTTGGTGTAAGCCTTCATCGCCTCAAACTCAATTACCCATCTAACAAATCTTTAGGTCTACTTCGCTAAGCCCGCACCCGCTCGATCGTTCCCCGTTACCTTTTCCGACGGCGAGATTGTCTGGCCCGAGTATGGATATCCTCTCCGAGGCGAGATCATTCCCATCTGGGCCGCTGCCCTGTTGGCTGCTCTTGTTCCCATCTTCGTCTTCCTGGTGATGCAGATCCGCATCCGCTCCTTCTGGGATGTCAACAACGCTATCATAGGCCTTCTCTACTCCCTCATCACCGCTGCCGTCTTCCAGGTCTTTGTCAAGTGGCTCATCGGTGGATTCCGACCTCATTTCCTTGAGGTCTGCAAGCCCGACATGGCTCGCGCTCGCACCATGGGAGGATACAACAACAAAGGATATCTTCAGCTCTACTACACTCCCGATATTTGCACTGGCGACAAGAGCGAGATCAACGATGCGCTTGAATCTATGCCCAGTGGACACACCACTGCTGCCTTTGCTGGCTTTGTTTACCTCTACCTTTACCTCAACGCCAAGCTCAAGGTCTTTTCCAACTACCATCCTTCCATGTGGAAGCTCATTGTCACCTACGCCCCTCTTCTCGGTGCCGTTCTCATCGGTGGAGCTCTCACTATCGACAAGTATCACCACTTCCACGATGTCCTTGCCGGTGCCATCATTGGAACCGTCTTTGCTTTCTCCGCTTACCGAATGACCTACGCCGCTGTCTGGGACTGGCGCTTCAACCACATTCCCCTCAACCGTGGCGCTCCTTTCAACTACTCCATGGGTGGCGCTGAGCTTGCTGACGCTGTCTTCACTCGCAAGGTTGGCTGGGGATCTCACGGCGGTAGCTCTCTCGGACATGGACACGGTCACGGCTTGAAGAGCGATGGATCTGAGCACATGCATGGCAACGGCTACAACAACGGTTCTATTCCCCGACGACCTGTCGGTACTGGTGCCCGCGGCGAGGAAATGGTTTAATGGAGTAATAAGTTGTCCGAATTCACATTTGTGGATGATCTGAAGGAGGAGATGGATGGCGAGTCATAAACTCGTGCACTTTAATTGTTTGATTACGACTGTATGAACCTAATACCTTCACGGCCGAATAAAACCAATGAAATTTAAATATCTGACACTTGTGCTATGGGAATAGTGATGCTCTATCTGACTGGGTTGCTATTGTTGACAGTGAAAGTTTCTGCTCACTTATCGTCCAGCTTCATATTATCTGACGAGTCGCAAGTCAACTTTTAGCAGTCAACATTTGCACAGCGAGCTGGATGATGCATGGAATCGTAATAGCTATCTCAAGCGCCCGGCTTCGATCTCTTAAGTTACGTTGATGTTGCCGGTTGACCGTTCATTTTGCCATTTCACTCTATGAAGTGCACTTTTTGGATGCATTTTATACCATCTAATCTGCTGAGATCCATCTGGATCTGCTCTTGACTGCTGTTGTCTGAAGAGCAACATTCAACGGTTGCTATGCTTAGACAGAGCCTCCTCCTCCTCCTGATCCATCTGCTGCTTCCACTCGCTCTTGCTGGTGTTGTGTCCCATTTTCTTTCCAGGCATGCTGTCAGTCTTGCCCTTCTTCTTTTCAAGCTGCTCTGCATCTTCGCGCGCGAGCTCAGCGTCGATTTCTGCACCTCGAGAGGGCTTGTTGCCGTGCATGGTGGCCTGGGTAGCAGTTAGATATTTGAGCGGCACCTCAGGTATTCTGGTAATACTTACCACGAATCCTGGTTCATGCTTCATGCGGTCTGCAACTATCCTGTTGGTCTACTAGACTTAGCTAGTGATCTTATACTTAAAATAGGGAACTTACGTCGGCCTCTTGGAGCTCATTCATTATTCCCTCTTTATGTACTAGAACCAGTTAGACAAAACCAGTTAGATAAGAATTATCAAGGTTTGAAGAACTTACAGTAGCCCTCGGTATTGACGTTGGGGTGCGTGCGATTCTCCTCACGAACTTCCTCCTTGCTATAGTGACGTTGATCTCCGCCTTCATACAAAGAAGGATATCCGACGTTTGATTGAGACATATTGATATTGATGAACTGTGTTTGAGGTGGTATCTATTGAATAATTTACTGGTATGAGGAGAAATGTTTGACTTTCAGAGCTTACACTATTTGTAGTGCTTGCCAACTCGGTGGGCCATCATCTGAGCGTCATTCAAGCAGCGAACACGGTCATTTTTAATGTTTACGCAAGACGTCACTAACGGACGACATGATGCGCATCTGCAGTCATTTGGGAAATGATAAACATGACCTGAGAGCCTACGTCCAATGAAACATCATTTTGGTGTCAAGCTCACCATGCTTAGAACAATTTCGATATCAGTCGAATAATGGAAGGATGATGCCCACTATTTACGCTGTTGAGTAGCGAGGTAGATGCTGAGGGGCGAGAAGGAGCCAAATAAGAAAAACCAAGGAAACCTTATTGGCATCATACTCGTAGAGCCGTCCAAGATATTATACCTCTTCGCAATGCTCTGAGCCAATTTCATTCTTGTTGTAGTCGTTGCATTGAGCCCAGGGTAGTTGACCCCAGAAATCAAGATTAGATAAGATAAGAGCTTTGAGATAAGATATTGACAGCGGTGTCGGACATCTATTCCTCACGTGATTGGTGAATTTTCTCCAGCCGCGTATCAATTTCCACAAATCACGCGTAAAGTGGTTGTGATTTCGGCGACACGAAGCCGGTATTTCCCTTTTGTTGACTTTACAGGCCACTGAGAGACTGTTCTAATCGTCATGTCTTCCGATGAGGGGTCCCAAAATGCCTTGCCGAGGGAGCTCATGGAGCTCCAATTAGGTCAAATTGACCTCCTCATGGCGATGTATGCGTCGGATGATGCGATAGCCATAGACTCTGCAGCGTCTGGATTGATTGAGAGATTGAGGGAGTGTTGTGAAAGTGACGGGGAAGCCACACCAAAGTTCTCAGAAACAGTCATAAATCTTCAGCTCAGGGTCGATGTTGAAGACGAAGATGCTTCTACAAGAACTCTACAGCTCACATTGACAGTACCGTTGAAATGTCAAAAACAAGAAGAGCTAACAGAGCCACCGCCAATAAAGACCAGGATACAACAACCGGATTGGATGAGCAAAGGAGATGTTGCGAAGCTGAACACTGAAATTCCCGAAGAGGACATTCTTTCTGTCATTGAGCATATAAAAGACGCCGCATCTCAGCACCTCTTGAATTTGAAGCAAGCAGAAATCGCCAATGCGCCAATAGAAGACACATCGTTAGTCCGAGTCTGGTTCTACTTCCCCTCCATCAGCACAAGAGCAAAGCGAGATGACTTCATCAACTATGCACCGACCTACGGACTCACTGGCTTTCTCCTCGCTGGGAAGCCGGGCATCTTGTGTCTCGAAGGGGGATCGATCGCCATTGACGACTTTATGAAGTTCATCAAGACAGAAAGTTGGGGCGATATTCCTGCGCATCACAAAAAGGTACGTCAATTATGTGAATGGGGAAGGGGAAGGCTGACAGTGAGTGTAGGTCAGCGAGAGATATCGAGAAGAAGCGACGGACCTGAAGCGTGCATTTTCGGATATGCAAGAGATCACGGATATGATTGAGAAGAGAGGAGCGAGAGGGAATCGTGGTGATATGAAGGCACTAGAAGCGTGGCTGGTTGAGTGCGGACTTGGTGATGCATTCGGCAAAATACTGATGTGAAAGGCAGCTCTCGGAAAGGTAGCCTGGAATGGAAGAGACATGAATGAGGCAGGGTAGATTCTAGCCAAGGACGACTGTTCAGAGACTCGGCACAGCGGCTTATTCTTTGCACTTGATTCTCTGTCCTCCGGATCATGAACAATTGCAGACGGTCATCTTGCTACCTCGACAAAGAAGACTAGAGAGTTATGGTATACCTGAAAGCTAGCTCGGGAGCTAGACAGAGGTTAAGGTTGAATGGCAATGGAAACGGCAGGCCAGGTCTCAGCTGTTTGCAATCATTGTTCAAAAACACAGTATTTGTTCTGCACATAGAACAAGTACCTGATATCGTGTATTCATCGGGAGATAGAGATAGATCTATTCTAAATGTAAAAGATGCGAAGAACGCCGGCTCTGACATAAGAAAATGCGTAATAAAAACATGAAAACCCCGATGTAACTGTTTTGCCAGTGTTCAGACACTTTCGGCATAGGCAACCTCCTTAGCCGGCTTCTGCTTCTTGGTAAACAGCTTCTGTCCAACCTTGTCCGTCATCTCGTCCGCCTTGTCGCCCAAGAAAGTCTTGATGCAACCGTAAACACCCGATGTGAGCCACAAGATGGAGTTGACGAGGTCGATCCAAACGGCTGTCTTCATGGCACCAGTGCTAGCGCCCTTGTACTTGTCGTCGCTGTCTCGGTGGAGGAAGATGCCAGCGAAGATTCCAAAGACGACGAGCCAGGTGATGAAGAGGATGAGGTCCCAAGCAAATGCGCGGTAGGTCTTGACGAGCTTGAGCTTGCTGCCGATGAGGGGAAGAGCGCCGAGGGGAGTAAGAACGACGAAGAGAATGGCGGTGGTGGCTGAAAGGCCAGCGACGACGAGAGCGAAGTACCATTCCGGTGAGAAGCCATAGTCGGTATCTTGAGCCTTATCGACGCGATGGCCGTAGAAACCGCAGGCGATAATAGCGAAGAGGAACTGAAGACCTCGACAGACCATGCGAGGAACTGTCTCAAAGGTCTTGAGCCAAGTCTTGCCCATGGTCTTTCCGGTCTCGGCGCCCTCGTTGAAGGCGTGACGACCAGCCTGTCGACCCATTTCCTTCTTGTCCGCGGCGCGGAATTCGGAGGTTGCCCCAGCGAAGGATCTAGCAGTGTTGCCGAGCTCGATGGCGGTCTGGCCAGCCTTGATAGCGTTATCGAATTTGCCCATGATGAAGTTGGATTATTGGTATTAAAGTGTTGCTGTTGAAGATGACATGCGTTTTTCGTGTGTTGACGATAGATGACCAAAGAATGAAATTGAACTGCACAGCAGTGTAGAAAGAGAGAGAAATAAATAGACGAAGAGTCGTGAAGCGATAGTGATTGATTTGGATAACACAACCAACAGAAGAACATCCTCACGTCTTTATACAGCATCAATGATCAACATCGTCAATAGACGCTGATGCGCTTTCTCATGTTGGACAATCAAGAGCCAATCGACAATGAAACGAGGCCATTGACAAAGAGGCCCAGCGCTATTCATGGAGCCCCAATCGTTTGTTGGTAGCCGCTAAGACCAGGCGCTTAGCGAAACTGGGCCTTTGTTAGGCGCTGCATGAGAGCCAATGGAGGGGTGAGCGCTGGGGAATAAAGAAACGAGAATAGAACAATTGGAAGAAGACAAGGTGAAACAAAGCCAAGGGCTACGCGTCTAATAAGAATGCCAAAAATAAATTGAGTAGATCAATAGGGAAGAATTGGTGAAGAGTCCTGTCTACCTGTTCACCAGGGTTTTCGCCATTGACAGTGGATACACGCCGCTATTGGCTCTACCGAACGCTGAAACTGCTTTCTTTCAGCGGTTGTCCATCAATGGCCTCAGTTAGCGAAAAAGAAAAGGTAGGCATACCTACCCGCGAAACTCTTCAATCAAGAGTTGTAGCGAAGTTCATCTCGTTTTTCAAAGTTCTTCCTACTGACGCTTGCCGAATTAGTGATTGGGGATCCCCTCAAACTCGGCCAAGCCTGCAATCAGTGCGTGCAGGTGCCCGCAATGCATGGAGTTTGAACGGTTACACAGAATACGAGGGCAATCAGAGAAAGGCATGGTACACCAAGTGATTCTGCCCTATTATAATTCATCCAGCCCTTCAAGTATTTTCTCAGTCGATGATTAATTTCTGATGCAGCCGACTTCAAGCCTCGGCTCTGCAGGTCGTAGGAATTTAGGGCTGACAGGATTCATGCTCAAGCTCGATCGCTGAAGGTGTTGGTTCGCGGTGCTTTTACTCATTCAGGCAACGCTTCCCCAAAATTACCAATCAGAAGAAATCATATCTCCTCCGAAAACGCGGGGATGGCTGGGTACTGCAATCCTATTACAAACCTCGTACAACCAACCAACAGCACAAACCGCATACAAAAGGACACAATTGCTTTCTCTCTCAACTTTCAGAAAACTACTTACTCTCCATATCATTCCAATCACACAAGCAAACTCAAAAATGGCAAGCCCAACTGTTGTTATCGTCCCTGGGTCGTTTGCACCATCTAAACACTATCGTGTGTTTACAAAGAGCCTCGAGCGACATGGCATCGACTCGCGCGTTATCGATACCCCCTCGGTTGGCAAGCGGGGTAATCTCCCGCCTGCGACAATGAGCGACGATGCCGAGGAGATCAACAACGTTGTTTCCAAGCTTCTGGACGAGGGCAGGGAAGTAGTCCTTATGACCCATTCCTATGGAGGCATCCCTGGAACCCAAAGTCTCAGCAAGCTCTCGCGAAAGGCTCGCGAGGCTGATGGCAAGCAAGGAGGGGTCGACAAGATTATCTATCTCGCATCAGTAGTGTTGCAACCTGGTATCTCCAACCTCGATGCATTCGGATCAGCACTGCCTGACTTTCTCGATCTCAAGGTACGCTTCAACCATTTCAGGTTCCCAAATTTTACGCTGACATCACATCTAGGATGACTATATGGCTCTTGATCCCAAAGGGCATGCCACTCATACCTTTTCTGATCTGCCTTTTGACGAAGCCTTTGAACTGGCAAAGCAGATGCCGGAGCACTCAACACCCAGCTTTCGGGAGCCACTGACATACCCTGGGTATAATGACGTCGAAGTGCATTATATCGTGTGCGAACAGGACCAGATCATTCCTCCCCAATTCCAGCGGGCAATGATTGAAGGGGCCAAGGCGTCAAGTGGAAGGGAGGTTGCAGTGCACAGTTTCGATAGCGGACATGTGCCCACCGTTAGCCAGCCTGACAATGTTTCCAAAGTTGTCAAGGAGATAATTGGAGCTTGATTGTGTTCTATCCGGGAAAGACGATAGTCAATTGATTCAAAGACCTCCGCTGCCCCTGCAATGTCGATTAGGGACTCTGTGCTCAAAAGATCTTTGCAACGATCTTGTTCTTCAGGTTCTGAGGTGCAGACGCTCGCTCGTGACGGTAATGCTCTGTGAGAGCGTCGAAGAAGTGCAAGTGCGAAACCAGATCGACCTCCGAAGCACGACGAACCCGAGTCTTCTTGAACAGCTTCCACCCAAGGCCGATACTACCTACAAGAGCAATCTTTCAATGCTGTCAGACTTAGTCAAGAGAAAACATGGAACTATGCTTACAATACCGTAATTGAAGATGAAAGTTGCGGTGCTCCAGTTGCCGCTGAGAAAGACGGCATATCCTTGGACCCTACGAGCTTTAGTTTCGGAGATGTCTATCACGATACATGGGCAGGGTTTCTTACCACAGAAGAGTGAATGCGCAGCAAAACGCCCAGTAGTCGGCGTATGGCTGAAAGCGGGATCTGACAGGTAGGAATGTCTCTCTTTCAATGTCCTGGGCCTTCATTGCAGCGTTAAATCGGATCCTTGTAACTGCCATAACAGTCCAGTTGCTGGGTGAGCTTAGACGCATGACTGTAGCCATGAGACGGGAGTTTCAAATACGCATAGCATAGTTGTAGCTGTGCAAAAACTGGCCATGACTGAGTCAGTACATTCGTGTCACAATCAAGCGTACGGTACTAACTTCAACGAAAGATCCATCGAGAGGGAAGAGTGTAACGCTTTCCATCTCTAAATAGAATTTTAGAATTTTGGTTGCAGTAGAGTCGGTGATGTTGGAGTGAAACTTACGGTATTGCGCAACAGGGAAGACGACCGTGACTCAGAATATGAAGGCCAGAAAAAGACACAGAGGGCCAGACAGCACTCCTCCACTTGACTGACAGACAGCGACTATGCTTAGACTACAGCTTTTATACCTGGCAGTCACCTCTGGGGCGCTGATCGTATCTCGAAGTTGCAAGAATGCACATATTCAAGGATGGAACCTGGCTCAGCATTGTTTACTCCAGGCTGCGAGTCCCCCTCACTTAGATATACTATTGTTGAGCTGACGCCCGAAACAGCCACTTATCACGGCGCGGGAGAGAACAAGTGTGATAGATCAGACCCCGACGCTCTACGCACTCTCTTTGCATGCTTTGCGTCAGTAGATCAAGTTATACAATGACGAACCAAGTTAACGGCTCTGCAGGCAACGTGACTACTACCGGCTTGACCAGGATGAAGTCCTCAGTACTCCCATCGAGATTGCTCGAACTCTGCCAGATGATATCCTCAGATTGGCAGGTTACTGTATGTAACTCTTCAAGACCCCTATATGAAGGGAGCAAGCTTACTGATATTGTATAAATAAGGCTGTTAGCGGAGTTGGCTATGTTGAGGATCACTAAAACCCAATGGAGTTTATGCAGAAGGAGCAGAATGGGATTGGCAAGTTTGGGCCGGCCAGCGACAAGCTAATGGTCTAAAAAGCTGTCAGAGACATGCAAGCGAGGAACTGTTTGCCTCAGGCCCTTGAGAGTTTCATGCTTTCTAAGTAATGTGATGCCCACGTGGCGTAAGCGCAAGGGTAACAGGACCAATGGCAATCATCCATACAGTCACGGTTACTTCGCAAATTCACCGTAACGGATGCCATGGGTGCCGTTAGATTAACTAGTATAGCAGATATTAGCCCTTCTTGAAGTCCCGATCGTTAAGTGCCAAATCAGTGCTCTGTATCGTAGGAGTCATGAGACCAGGTAGTGTTGAAACTAAGGTAGTATTTGACGAGACCATCAGCCCTAACCAGACTTGGCGAGGTGGGGTAAGGTCAGAAGCTGTCAGCATTGGATGACCATGATTTGCTTTCAAACTGTTTTTATTCTGAAGCGACTATTGACGGAATACTCAAGATGTATTCGGATATCAAGTACGACCAACTTGAAGATCCTGACCATTGGATCAGACTCATCAAACTTGAACCTTGTCCATCGGAATCCAATTCTGAACCCGATAGACCGGATCTCCTCGTGTGCAATATTGAGGAATATATTCGCGGCGACTCCCAGCCATACACAGCTTTATCATATGTCTGGGAGTCTCCAGACAGCCCCAAAAGGCTAGTAAGCGTTGGTGGGACGACAATAGACATTAGCTCAACCGTCGAGAATGCCCTTCGGCGCCTACGGTTTCGCAATAAGCCTCGGTGGCTTTGGGTCGATCAGCTATGCATCAACCAAGCCGACGAGATGGAGAAGAGCCACCAAGTTCACCAAATGCACCATATCTACAGGGAAGCAGATCAGGTGATCGCATGGCTGGGCAATGGTGATGAGAGCAGCGACCTCATATGTCGCCTGATGCGTGACACAGGTAGAGCCCTGCGCTCCAACGATCTTGACACTTTGCAAAAGCTCTACTCTGGCGAAAAGGAGGAGGGGTCTATTGATATAGAAGTTGCAAAAACGGCTTTCCACGCGTTCTGCGAAAGACGCTATTGGCAACGTCTTTGGATCATGCAGGAGTTTGCTGTTGGCCGACGTATCGCTATTGCCTGCGGTGACTGGATTGTGAAATACGATCTCATGGATCAGACTCTGGACGCCCCGAGTATCGTTCAACGCCGTGCGCAAAAGAAGCCCATCGATGGGCTTGAGAGGCTGATTCGGAATCTGAAATATGTCTACTCTACTCCACTCAACAGCTACGTTTATAGCTTGTTTACGAGACGGTGGCACTATGACTACACTCCCGATGGGGAGAGTCCGCGGGGCCAACCCCTTTTACAGGTCGTCGCGGTATCGCTCACTCTGGAAGTCGACTACAACGTTGTCTACGCAACCGACCCACGTGATCGTATATTTGCACTACTGAACCTGGCTGGAGACAGAGATCACTTTGACCTATTCCCAGATTACTCCATGACAGTCGAAGAGGTATACAGAGAAGCAGCGTGTAAGATCATAGAACAAGGAACTATTGATATTCTCATGTACTGTCAAAGGCCCAGAAAGCTCGCCATGCTACCAAGTTGGGTGCCTGACTGGAGTATGGATGTTCTGCATCCAAATGCACAGGCACCGTGGGATACCCCTTTCAAAGCATCGGGCACATATACCGCGATACCAAAATTTCCCCAATTCGATACAGCGACATTCGACGGTATTTATGTGGACAAGGTTCAAGAGACCGGGACAACCTGGGACCCAAACTGGTTGAAACCCATCAGTCGGACCGCAGTCAAGCAATGGGTCAAAAGCATCAGGGGATTTTGCGACAACTCCCCTAGAATCAGGGTCGGAGAAGAGCGTCTAGATGCAGCACGCATCGGGATACTCGATGGCACTACGTGGCACTCTACAGTGCCTTATCAAGGCTGGGGATCCCAGTGCGCAGAGGGAGTTGAGGAACTTCAGGGCTTTAACACAGATGAAGGAGAGGAAGGCGGAAATCCATCGTCTGGAGAAGACTCCTGGTATGCTTCTGCTCTTATGCGGATGCACACAAGACGTGCCTTTATGACGTCTACGGGTTTTGTTGGAGTAGGTCCACTTGATATGCAGCCAGGAGATGAAGTCTGTGTCCTGTTGGGAGGGAAAGTACCCTACCTGTTGCGACCTCAGGGTAACGAATCATATACGCTTGTCGGGGAGGCGTACGTGCACGGGATAATGCACGGAGAGCTTTTTAAAGGCGGTGCTAGAAACATTCGAAAGTTTGACGTAAAGTAGAAGTAATGTATGCGACTCAGGGTCAACTCAGTCCGATCCCTTGCAGAGATCGATGCTTTGTTTCAAGCCCCCGGATGTTCGGGCATATGGAGTGCAGCCATTTGTAGCTCTGCAGGATACAACTTAGACAGTGAGGCAGGCTCAATAATCTTAGCTGCCTGGGAATTCTATTCCAGATCAGTGGGTGGAGATCCCTTGACGATACTCCCTGAATATCGCGTTGTTATGTCCAGCCTCCTCATTCACGTTGCAGGATTCATGGATTGAAACAGAAATGTTTCGAGGATAAACTTGTCTAATTGGGTTTAATATTGTCAACCATAACTAGTTCTGGCCCAATCCACGACTTTAGAGATAAACGAGTGTGTTGCAATCTGATCAAGATGCACGGGAGGCGGCTGATCTGCGGTGTCGTCTACGCAGGAGTAGGCGTAGGAATAACCGTCGTCAGACGTGGGCCCGGAACACACTCCCCATTAACGCACCGTCCATTTCGTTTGATCAGGGGACAAATGTCGGCAAGCTGGTAGTGAAAGCGGCGAACTATTTGGATCAGAAGAATTCTCAGGGTACAGAGAAATGGCTGTTGAGCCATGACAGGGATACTCACCGCCTCCCGGACGAGTGACAAGATCACCTCTGCAGGACAGCTAAAAAGTCCGACATATAAGCAGTCAAATTCATGGATAAGTGAAGATGATAGGACTTACAGTAAGCGGGGCATCACACTGGCATACATCTGGGTCTCCCTTGTTACAAACTTGCCCAATGTTGGCGCACGCAAAGGTCTCGGCCGAGAGTGCGGCAATAGCGAGGACGATGGAGAACTTCATTTTGGATAAAAAGGTTTAATGGATTTATAAGGCTGAGTTGAGGATTCTGTCTTTGGATTGTTGAGTGATGATTTACCAACCGATAGAGGAGCGGATTCGACAGTTCTTATAGAAAGCAACAGGACAAAGGTAAGCAGGAAGTGAAGAAGGTGGCATTGCGAGTTTGTTTCATGTTAATAGTAGAGGTTCTACAGATAGAGCGGTGATGGGACCTCGAGTAAAACAGTTTTGACTTGATTCCCATTCTGTGTCATGGTGTCGTCCAGGCGCATCGAGACCGCGAGCAGTCGCAGATAGAGAGCTCTTCTGGTTGTCTTGCTAATCTATGGAATCCCCAGAACCTTGTCGTTTGTCCGCACAGTTCAAAGCTTAGGATATCGTCAGGCAGTCTCTCAACAGAACTAAGTAAGGCGATGTGCAAGAAGTCTTCTCGCTTGCCTAGATCACTAGCTAGCAAGAGCTTGTCTGAAGCAATACCGCTGGAAACCCTGTATCAACAATGGAGGGAGTGGGTCTGTTCCAGTGATACAAAGACATGACTCATACTGTAATCGAACGACTGATAGTGCGTAGCGTCTAGCGAAACGATATACAACATAGTTGGCGATGCGATGATGGAGTCGGTGTGCTTTTCAAGAACAATGACAGGTAGGGTACAGATATCTGCTAGCAGCTTGTGCACTCACATTCGAATGCATGATTTGGTCAGTATCAAGGATATAGACAGATATGGCGCGGTCTCGACCATTCTCTGTGGTACCCTCATCATATTGGCTCAGCTGGAACATCTTGCCGTTGTCTCAGGCCCTTGCCATCTCCTACGGAGGTATCCGAGGATCTTCAGAATCAAGCGGGGTAACAACAAATTATGAACAGGCGGGAAACCTTGCATACGGAAGAGTGATTCATTATTCTAGCATCAGAGATACAAGAGACACTAACAATATTCTATGGGTACTGCATAATCATGACGTGCCTGCTTCCAATCGTTACCAGTTCAGCTATCCTGCTATAGGAGTCTTTCTTAAAGAGAAAAGAAAAAAAAAAGAAACACGAAAGCAAAGCGCAGTGTAACAAAACTCCTTGAGCTCTCTAGAGAGTGTACCTAAAGTCAGGACGCACATCACCGCTGATCCACTTCTGCTCATCTGTCATAGCAGCATACTTGGCATCCAGTGATCCTCTCGCACGACGACGGTTCTCTAATCGGAGGGCAAAATGCATAAAGATAGAACCTCCTAGAAGAAATAGGATTTGGTATGCCAGAACCGTGCCGTGGCCGGCAAAGTAGCGAGGTCTTTGGGTCTCACGGTAGATGTTGGACGAGACGACACCATTGAGGTTACCCCAGCCGACGACCATGCCGAGAACAATGGCACGCTTCAATGAACCCTCGACATTGTTGTTTACCCACGACACAGTGTTTGAGACGGTGGGATAGATACCTGTTCCAGATTAGTATAAGCCTGAATGAGCCAGGGCTGTGTACTTACCCATTGCGCCGAGGAACACAGCGCCGTATTGGACATGCGGATCAGGTGATGCGATCAGCATGGTGAATCCAATGATACCGACACAGACAGTAGCAATATTACAATAGCCACGCCATTTGGTTCGGTCTGCTAGGAATCCGACGAAGACAGTAGCGGCTGCAGCGCAGGCATAAGGAGGAACCGATAGGAGTTGCGCCTTGGTGCCTACATGTCCCATACTTCGGAGAATGGTAGGCAGGAAGAGAGAGAAGGCGTACAGTGGCATTAGTGAGCCCATGTAGATCACCATGTAACCGTACGTCTTCCAATCCTTCATGGCAGCCCAGATATGGCGCTTATCAAAGTCTTCAGCGGTCCTTCCCTGACGGTCCAGGATGAGACGGCGCTGAACACGAACGCGATCCTCGGGAGAGAGGAATCGAGCGGTGTCGGGCCAGTCAAAGACCATCCACCAACAAAAGGCACCGACAGCGACAGTCGCGAGACCTTCGAGGATGAAGATCCATGCCCAGCCGGGTCTACCGCCAATACCGTCCATCTTAGCGATGGCTGCGGCGAGGAGACCACCGAAAGAACCAGCCAGGGCAGCAGCGGAGAAGAAAATGGCGGCGCGAGCACCAATCTCCGACGACTTATACCAGCAGCCGAGATAGTAATTGACGCCAGGATAAAGACCGGCTTCTGCGACACCGAGGAAGAAACGGGCTGCCAGGAGACCTGGGTAATTGTGACAGACACCCATGAGGGTCATGACAGCACCCCACGCGATGATGATGCCCGTGAAGAAGATGCGGGGTGTCAAGCGCTTGAGAAGACCGTTGGTAATCGGCTCAAAGAGGGCATAACTGACGAAGAAGATGGTGAGGGCGACGTTGTAATCTCCCGGCTGCATATCCAAATCATCTTCCATGCCTGCGAGACGAGCATTGCCGATGTTGGTTCGGTCCAGGAACGAGAGGAGGTAGAGTAGCGAGAGCCAGGGGATGAGCCAGAGGTCGACCTTCCAGACCAGCTTCCTGTCCTGAGCCATTGTCAGCGTCAATTATTGTCAACTGGACACAGAGCACATGTAGAACGACTTACAATCTCGCGTCGTTCCTCTTCACTCTTGCCCTCATCAGGATCAGGCAGAGCAGCTAAGAGCGCATTACGCTCAGCATCAACAGCAGCCCCGGTCCCGACATTGGACAGTGTCGTCGACGCGACATTCTCAACATCAACAGCTGTAGGCTTCTCTTGCTCACTTGGCGGTGTCGCCGTGGTATCAGTAGTCATGGTGCTGGAATGATAACTTATAACATAAGTCTAGGATAGCGAAACAGTCTCTACGCTCCGCGGAGATGACAGCTTACTACTGCCTTTACCAGCAGAACAAGAAAAGAAAAACAACTCTGGAGGGGGAAGAGGCATGGGCTTTTGTTACCACGTAAACAACCCTTCCATCTAAACCCGCCTCGTACGTCAACGCCCGCAAGCCCCCCAAACCCCAAAGCTAGCCCATGAGATGCGGGGGAGGAAATGAACCAAAGCTCACGATCTGCGATGACTCTAAGCGTTTACGGGAAGGTCGACGCATGGACGTGGAGAAGAAGAGACCAAGCTTTATTGCCCAGTCTTGGCTTTAATTGGACGACAAGGGTGAAATGCCGATCTGTAAGTTGGATTGTTGTGTCTCGCAAGCAGGGAAAAACACCCCGAGTCAGCATCACTTTGCTATGGGAGGTAGACCAGGGAGCAGGGGGAGTATTTGCCCCGAGTGCAACCCATTTTGTAGGTCGAGGATCAGCCTGAATGGCTGTTGTGTTCCGAATCTGACATGAAAAGAGCCGATCCCTACTTTGCAGCGTTTGATGGCGTCCAGTATTTTGATCCCGTCCCAAAGCCTCGGCTTCCCTGTGCGACGTTGCTGCAGCCACGAACCTCCACGAGCTTTGTTGATCACGAAAATGGAATCATCATAGCGAGTAAAAACACTTTCCAGTACCGAAGCTTCGGGGCACTGCTGCTGCTGAGTGACAAACCCTGAGCCCTCCAG